TATTCTTTCATTACCTGAGCCGTGCCTGGCTAAGCGCATAAAGAAAGTGCTAAGGACAGAAATTCTCTAAGGATTTAATTTTACGGAGCAATTACCGCCCTTGCTTTTAGCCTTGTTGCCGCTAAATTTTGACCCCCATATTGAACGCCAGAGGCCACAACAGCAGACTGAAATATTCCTCCAATTCTCATTCCGAAAAAAATAGAACTTTTGCATTTTCCGACAAATCAATTATTTAAACGAAAATGAGACATGCACCATTCTCTAAAGCGTGTTTTAGGCAATCCGAACACAAAGTTTAATAAAAACATTTGAAGCCATTTTTGAGAAAATTTCGAAAATGTTGAGGCTTCATTTAAAGTACTGCTAAAAATCAAAATATCCGTTTCAAACTCGCGGGGGATCAAGTTCGTTTAGATCGATCGGGGAATACCAATTTTGGAGAAAATGGTCTGAAGGGTTCAGGCATTATCGTTCACCACATACGGACACACACAGACGGAGCCGGACTGATTCTTATTACCTAACGTATCATAGGAAGTAATTCTCTAGTCTAAATATAAGACCAAAATTTATCAACTTTTTCGTTAGCAGGGTCAGGCAATAAGAGTTTTTCAGTAAAAAAACAACGACTTCCTACACACGATAACGATACTCTCTTCTTACGAAGTAAGGCGAGAAAGTAAAAAGAATAGCAATGATAGTTCTATGGCATATTATTTTACACGTATTAATGGATGAAAAATGAGAAAAGACGTCACACTGTGCTCGTACTATCCCCATCTGGAAAGAGCGGCCCCCCTGCCAGCACGACAACTTCCCCTGATCCCGCTCCTACTTCCTTCCGAATTCGGAAAGGTGTGCAAAAGCACAATCTGTAACATGGATGGTAAACGCCAAGTGGCCCCAAATATCCTGTGATTGCTTCAAACGAAAGCAAGTTTGCCGGGTGTTTTAAATTAAATAACGGAGGTCTGAATTATGTGTGTGTACTTCACTATTTATTACTATACATCATGATCATTATTTCCTTTTTACATTTCTGTCTTATATAATCATTTTGCCGAGGGCCAGAAATGTTTAAATGGCAAATTAATTGCGTGAATACTTTTTGTGATGTGTTTTATTAAATACATCTGTTAACTGTAGCAAGAATGCGAAATAAATGAACAAGTCTGTATGTAGTCTATCTCTTCCAGTAAAGCTCCTTCTTAGATTTATTATATCACTCTCACGGACGGACCGATTTGTTAACAGACAAGAATCTTTGTTCCTAACCTTAACGCAGGAAGTTAATTAAATTATTGTACTCTTAAGCCAACGCTATTACGATATTAAAATTTACAATATTTAATTTTCCTAACAATTGATATATCCAGATATAACTGATTTCATTTATAAGGACTATTCCACTCGTGAAATTAAAACAATAGTGTTTAACTATAGATACAAAGTTCCCCAATCAGGGCGGTGTATCTCCAAAAGTGCATCGCTTTTTCTATCTGATTTTTCTTACCGCTTCTACCTACTGGCCAATCGCAAACTGTGACTCATCTACCTTAGGAGGTGGTATTGTACATCGATCGCTATGTTGATGTCCAATAAACAGCGTGTGTACTATAGCATTACCTCTGATTTTAACATACACTTTCAGTTATTTTAAATACGTGACGCATTTTGGTACTTTGTTGGACATAATACCACTCGTGGAATAGTCCTATTAAATACCACGAGTGTTTGGAAATTCACAGATAAATCCCCTCTTTGCTTCGCGAGTCGAGTATTTATCGACATTTTCCAAAGCACTCATGGTATTACATACAATAATTTATTTGCAGTAGTGGTGAAAATGAAAATTAATATCGCTTAATTTGAGGCAACAACTTTCAACTGACTTCTCCAAATGACAGTCAGGGACCGGGTATAGAATTATGAACAGTACATAAATTTGTACAACCCTTACTTATAAACCTCACGCTAATTTCTCTGTGCGTAGTGCCCGCGAACTCTAGTAAGTTAGTCACCTTGCCCGTGACCTTGGCATGTCCGTTTTGTAAGTTACTGGTAGTCACCAACTTATTCGACGCATGCTGTGTATCATCATACAGCTACACCACTGAGGGCAGTTTGAAAAAAATGTTCCAATCTGAAATATAGACCCGTAAACAGAGGTACCCAGAGGAAACAAGGGGCCTGGGGCACTAAATCCACAGGGTCCATTGTTTGGAACAACAGTTCCCGTCATTTATTTTTATTGTTATTCTATTTTTACACAAATTGTTGGTCTTAATAAAGCTACCACACAGATACATCAAAGCATGGTAACTGATTTGTTTTACCTTTGCAACATTCTATAGTTAATATGATACAAAATAAAATATCAAACTTGAAATTACAATATAATACCTAAATTTAAAAGCTTTAGAATCCCACAAGTCCTCCCGTGAACTTGCTGATCAATGTGTACGTATTGATGATGACTGATTTTAAAAGAGCGATGATAATACTCTTGTCCATACCTAGGTCGTCTAACGATTCGCTAAAACGTTTTGGTCCGACTCCGGTTGCTGATGGAACAGTTTTAGCATCTGCAACATTCTCTCACTACGTATGCTAGCTCTACGTATTTATCGATTTTTGCTTGATACGTAGTTATCATGTTGTTGGTATTGATAACTGCAACGGTTGTTATTGTTATTATTATTGTTGTTATTATTATTGTTATTATTATTATTGTTATTATCATTATTGTTATTATCATTATTGTTATTATTATTATTGTTATTATTATATGTTTTTAAGATGAATTATATTCCAAATACAGTTAAATACGTCTTTTTTTCAAAAACTGTATAAAAGGAAATCAATTTTGTATACATTTTCGGGTCCCTTCGTAAGTGGGGCCCTGAGACAAGTTGCCATAGCTGCCCCACCTTCTCAGCGCCCCTGCCAGTAAATGTTCGAAGACATATCTATTATAACACACAGATCAATGGACTTCAATTGATAGAAAGTTCTAACAATTGCATAATAATAATAATAATAATAATAATAATAATAATAATAATAAATTTCAGCTTTGTAAATTAAAATCAATGCATGCATGAATCACCTCAAAAAGCTGATAACATTTTCAATCCATCCGATCTAACTGTCTGATTGAACTGAACTGGCTCATTAGGCACAAATGTAAAAATTAGTCGCAATCTAATTATTAGAATCACTGTTTTACTTATTTTTATGAAACCCAAATACAGTTATTTAATGCGAAAAAATAAAAAATGATAATGCTGTAATTTTTCACTTCACTCTCTTACTCTCGAGATGAAAATCCAACATTCTGCCCTTCATTTCCCCTCAGAGCGATAGTAATGCTCCTTGGTTATTCTCCAACAATATTCCACACGACGCCGACGGACGTTGCGAGCTGCAAAGCGAGACCCAGAGTCTTGCCCTCGAAAGGCGAGCTCTTCGCCAGCCAAACGGGAACACGCGAGGCCGCGGGCGCCGTGCTTTTCCAAGCGCAGCACGGAGACGTCGGCCCCAAGGCCGCGCGACCTCACTTGCGCCTCCGTGGGGCTCTCGGCCGCAGCGCCGGCCAGGCTCCGCGGCAACTCCGCCACAAGCAAGTGAAACGCGCTCGGCGTTCGGGGCCTCCCTGTCATGTCAATGTCGCGCTATTCGCGTGTTTGTCATGGATGACTCGGAGATACAACTAAATATTTTTTTAGTGTGTAAAATGTGTTTTAACGGAGACGTATCAAACGAATATGCTGGTAAAATAGTGATGTACGGTATATCGTGGAGAGTACGATACTGGCAGAATGATCGATGCTGTAAAGATCGACAATTACTGACCATTAAAAAATAACATCCGTCTCTAATTTTGCCTAATTTTTATTATCATTTCTAAAAGTTTCACTATATGTTAATCTAGAGACGATTCGTTTCAGAAATGATGTCAGTGCTTGAAACAGTACTTTAACTCTTATATTTTTATCTTCTTGTATTATATAGCGGAATATATATCACTTTCTCGTAAATGGCAATGTAGTATAGAGAAAGTATTTCAATGTTGCAGGGAAAAGTGACGATTTTTCGACACAAAACAGCAAGTTACGTAAAACGTGCGCGAAACATGAGATTGGCGCACAAGTCGAGTTTGCCGTCCGAGCGTTCGCAAGGGCGTCAAAAGACGTGCGAGCGGATCACCATGGAAAACAAGCACGAAAAACGGCGTTTCGCGCACGGAATGTTAAAATAGTTCACGTAACAGGGGCGCGAAACAGGTGATTCACGCACAATTCGAGTTTGTTGTCCGAGATTGCGATGTTTAGCACACGCTACGCGTGTAACAATTCGCAACTGTCTTTCGTCTTGACGACGTCTTTGTTTATTATTTAATAGTGTTATGCTACTGACAGGAATCCATTTACTTTTCTTCAAGGTATTTCTTGTTTTTTGATATTTAATTAATAATCCTTTACTTGACGCATGCGCTTCACTCACGACGTGTTACAAGATAGTATACGTAACACGGGTGCTAGGTGATTCCCGCACTCTGTTGTCCTCGCTACACTAGGACGACAAACTCGACTCGACTTTTGCGGGAATCACCTGTTACGCTCCCTTGTTACGTAAACTACTATTTTTGGGTCCCTGATACCAAAATAGTACGTTTTTCTTGCTCTTATTAGTTTCTCGATTACATAGTGTAGTCAGAATCCAAGTTTTATGGGTCCTTGGTATATAATTGTATTGTTTTTTTTTTACAAAATATTCGACCGTCAGCCTGCAATGAACACTAGCATCTAAACAGTTCATTGAATTTTCACCAAAATGAATATTCCCCGATCGGTCTGTCTGATGTCACGGCTCCTCAAATTTGAACCATATTTTTTTTTCCATTTTTTCCAAAAATGGCTCTCATTTTTATTCTTTGAATTTTTAATCAAATACAGTACAGTTCTCTTATTAACAATACTCAGATTCGTAGTCGTATGGAGATGAAGACGAATGTGAGGGACTCTGAAAGTGAGGACAAGGAGAACGGGCAAAGAGAACGGTTAGTGATAATGATGAGTAATGGAGATGGGCAGTGAGTTTGGACAGTGAGGACAAGATGCCCGTTTAGTGAGCGATTAACACAAGAAATCAATAAAAATATGCTAGAAATGGCCACTCTTAGAGTACATGGTATTCACTATTGATGTGGAAAACGCCTGATTACACAGGCACAATGACACTACCAATTATAAATTCGATTCTACTGAAAACGCCTTGGAAGACCATGTCGATTATGATTTAGGAATACGACGTACCATTTTGGTGAGGGCCTTGGTAGGGCTTGCTAATAGCTTTTCGTAACAAGTTATTTACTGTCAGGTCAACCATAATGATTTCACGGAATAAATTTAAATATGAACACATTATTAATTGAGGAAAGAGTTGGTAATAAAAGTGATACAGTTTTCATAATCATCATATTTAGGTGTCATTTCATCTTCATATGACGTAGAGTCACAATCAACAGAGTATTAATGAGAGATTTGAGTTCAGTTTGCATACTAGGTAATTTACTACCTGTTGACATACTGATCTGAAAACTGCATCCTTTCATGTGCTCATTCTGCAGTTTCTCCCCTTTAAATCTTCAGTAAATTAAAACACAAAAGGTTTTGTATTTTTTCTATCAACATATTTCAAAGGTCTTTTCAAGATTTGTTCATGAAAAACCTAAATTCTGTGCAGCCCAGGACATTTCTGACATGTTTTGAAATGCATTTCATTGTAACTCTCTGGGCTACGTATTGTAGTTCCTCTTTTCTATCTATGTTCATTCTGAACATAAGAGTTATATTCAACAACATTCTTTTCCACGCCATCTATATCCCAACGGAAGACTTTTTCTGCGTTAAATGCACCAGTCTTAAAAAAAATATGTTAACATTTTAAACAAATCAAATACCAGGGAGAATGTTTCAAAGCGCAATATTTAGAGTATTTCACTTAACACAACAGTTAAAATTCTAATAAGAAAACGAAAAAATCAACGGAGAATTCAGAAATACAAGAGAGAGAAAAGATATGACGATAAAAGCTGAGGCTGTAATTTAGCAAACAGTGATCAACATTTCATTTTAACAATATGCAATTAATAAAACTCTTACTACTATTATCTCAACATTTTGGCCTCTTACCCTAAAGAGGTTAAAATTAGTAAAACATTATTTATGAAAGTGAGACCTTATCATATACACCTTTTGATGTCAACACGTTTTCTAAATTAGTTTCACGGTCATAAAAACAATCTTATTCTCTCACACAAAATGTTATTGCTTCACGTAGCCGTTACAGACAATGAACAAGTATTAGGTTTGAATTTCATGTGAAAATACAGAGAAAGCCGAGCAACCCAACCTCCAATATGGAAGAAATTTTAGCATATTTCTGAAGATTTGTTCGTACACCCTTGCATAATCTGTATTTTTGATTTTTCAAATTATATTAGAGAGTGATTATTCAGTTTTTTTGGAAATCTACTAAAATATGTCCAGTGTTTAAGAAAGGTTTTACTAATTTAATTATTTAAGTGACAACAGGCCGATTTTCTTACTAACACACTTTCTCAAAGATACTGTAAATACTTTTTTAGTGTTTTAAACGCTGATTTTAAACTGTTTATTTGCTCTCATCGCGAAGAGGCTTTCAAAAGAAAATTAACTGTTACTAATGTATTGATTGTTTCGAAATCTATTTCAATGCCTGAGGAAAAGGGAAAACTTGTTTTGATGTACTACACTGACTTTTCAAAATATTTTATCAGTTAATCACCTAGCAGTGCTTTGGGGCGGTAATTCCTAGTTTTAAGTCGGACCTTATAGTAAAATTATATGTAATTTTCGATTAAGTAATACGGTCAACCTGTGACTTCAGCCACCTTGAAGAATTTGGACGTTTGGTCGACATTTTTATTAGTGTTGCCTTTCTAGGAGCCGATGATTTGACTATTTTTTATCTTTATCTACCCTATAGTAGTCTATAGTAGCTATCTTAATATTTCAGGAATGTTTTAGCACGCTAATCGACACACAGTAGCAGATGATGCTATCTGTTCCCTACTTGAGTCGTAACGGGGAAAAGTGAAATCAAACAATTACACACTTGAAGCCAATTTTCCCATACATTTCTCAGTTATTACGCTTCTGGGTGCACACCTCTTAATAAATAAGGAAAAAAATAATACATTTAACAATTAGGGTTTGAATGAGGTCGTATTAGGTCTAGGGTGATACATTTTCTAGGTAACTTCGGTCATGCTAAAAATGCAAAAGAAAAAAGTAGTAGGGCAACACCATTTAACATACAACCTGATATTCCTCCATCTTAGAAACGGCAAATTTAAATTTACCATATCTTCGAAAATTATGCTGTTTCGAGGACGAGCCTCCAAGATAAAACGAGAGGGCAGGAACAAAATTGGACGATCGTGCTCCCTAAAGTGATGTTAGTTTACAATTCATATTTTTATTTTATAAATATTTTAATTTTTAAACATACATTATAAACTAAGCAGCATGCTTGTAAAATTATGCTTAAATTAATTGTCCTAACACGATCATTTAATTCTAAGCAGCTCTTTTCCATGTGCTCACTAAATGAGACGTGTGGGAATTTCCTCGAACGTAGATGTGAGAATAACTGTTAAACACTAATTAGATAGAGGCCAAACGACTTTGCCTGTCTTCAGATAAAGGGTGCCTTGGAAGAAGACAGTCGATGAATGGAAAAAGAAGTGCCAGAGCCCCTTACCCAGAACAGAATTACTCAGGATCTTGAGGTGAACAATGAAATCTTTAGGCTCTGAAAAATTAAAATAAACTTCCAATCTAGATTCTGATCAACGGGATATCGCATGTAAAGAGAGATCCTGTTTTAAAGAGAATTCTTAATTCCCAAACAAGTGAGACCAGCGAGATCTTTGAGGGACTCATTCAAACACCTCTTGAAACATTCCTTTATTTCGAGCGGTTAAAGTTAATGGTAAGGTTGAGTAATTTATCTTATATTATTTCATCAATGGTCGAAGTTACTACGTTTTTTAGTATATTTCATCCTCCTTTCGGAATTTTATATTTCGAACAAAATGTTACAGTTTATCTAACCTTAGATTTGACAAAATATACGGCCAACCTGGATAGCCGAGGTGGCTATAGTGTGTGCCAACTCAGCGCTTCGGTCTGAAGGGTCCTGGATTCGAACCCTGCCGCATGGTTGTTTGTCCCTTGCTTTTAATGTATTTGTGCGGTCGCGGAAGGCCTTGAGAGTGCTGACTGCTGACCATGGAGCCCGCAAGTGTGTCTAATGTAAAGTTGAATGTGTGACACAGTGGGCACCCAGCGGGGATAGTCGAAATAGATACCCCTTAATGCTGGAAAAGGCCCCAGTAAGAAAAAAAAGACCACAGATAATATACTTTAGCTTATTTATGAGAATTTATTATCACTTTCATCTTCAAATTGACGAAAAAACGTTTAAGAGTGGCTGAAGTTACTCTTGTTGACTTTACCACATTACACCAATGTTAGTTCTAAAGCAGGTCTTCCGATAGGGCAGACACGTTAAGAACGCGGGCAAGGTAAATACCTTTCGCGAGATCAAGGGTACACCGCCCAGAGAAATTTCGCAAGCTATAAAAAAAAAAGAAGTGTACAAATTGCTCCAGGGTGGCGGTACATCACAGGTAACCTAGCGCTTGACAGCCCTTGAAGTCAATTGCAATTATTGCCCCTAATTTTGCTGTGTTAATTCTCACTTCCTTTACTAAAGAAACTAAATTATCATAGGTAATACTACGAGGGCTTTGGAAATTGTCCATAAGTCCTCGACTGACGAATCGAAAAGGGGATTAATCTGAGAATTTTCAAAGTAAGAATGACATTTAATTGGACTATTCCACGAATGAAATTACGTCTGACAGAGCTCCAAAATGCACCATGAAAATAACTGAAAGCATGTTAAAATCAAAGAGGTTATGTTATAGTACATACGCGGTTTATTGCACGCCAACACAGCGATCATTACATTCCGCCTCCTAAGGTAGACGAGTCGCAGCTTATTATTGGTCAGTAGAGAGGGGCGGTAAGAAAAATCAGATAGAAAAAGGAATAACTTTTTTGAGATACACCATCCTGATTGAGGTATTTTATATGTATAGTTACGCACTATTGGTTTTAATTTCACGAGTGGAATATAGAACGCAATAGTACATGTGCATTGGGAATTTCCGATATATTCCTCCGCGCGTAGCGATGAGGAAATTTATCTGAAAATTTCCAATCATGGTGGTGTTTAATAAGACTATTCGACGAATGTAATAACCTCCAAAAACGTTTCAGAGTGCAACAAATAGTAATTATATTGTGTTCGCGCTCGAAGTACACAAGACAGCGCGTCCCATGATCAATGTATCGCACCTTGCGATTGGCCAGCAGGTGCAAAGAAAAAAATGGGGGGGGGATCCATCGTCTTGATCAGGTGTAAAGTCCAACGCTGTTGGTGTCAATTAAACGAATGGAATAGACCACGGAAATGAAATACATCAGTGATCGGGAAATGAGGCTAAATTAAATTATTTTCTGATTGTTATTTCCTACACCTTGGAAAACTGAACCAATAAAGTATCTTGGAGTATTGTTAGACAAGAAACTTTCCTGGAAACCGCATATTCACGCAGCTATCAACAAATCCAATGCTAAAATATTAAAACTATACCCTCTTATAATCAACATTCAACACTCAATACCAAATGCCAGATTCTATATATAATCTATTATCCTACCACACTAACTTATGCTTGCCCAGTGGGTGGGGGGAAACCGCCTTCTCACCACCATACAAAAAATGCAAGTTGTCCAAAATAAGTCCTCAGAAAAGCAATTAAAGCTCCATGGTTTTATACCTAACCACAAATTCACAGAGAACTCCAATGGAAACAGTGCTCGAACACATTAAAAAAGTAGCAAATAATTTCTATTCTTCCCTTCTTCATCTCATTCCGCCCTGAAATTTCACCTAGGTCGAACAGCAACATCCCAAGCCGAATCAAATCAAATTTCCCAAGGACATGCTTAAACGCTCCTAAACCAATAATATCATCCGTATCTAAATAGAATCTTTCACGTTCCCTTCCTATTGCTCGATAGGGCAATCCTAAAACCTACCCCCCCTCTCCAAAAAAAAAAATCAAAATAAATCCCAGCTGCTTCTACAAGCAAACCAACGAATTAAACGAGTCAGAGTATCTAATCTCAAATTTGTCAGGAATGCCCAAATCCCAAAATATCAGTGGTGTAAAACTGAAACCCTCGAAAGACCTTGGTCGAACGAGAGAAAATAAATTTAAAAAAAACAAGATTGTTATTTCCTGGTTAGAAATCCCGATCAGACAACGATATCGCAGAGTTTCATCTCATGTCAGACCCCTCTCGGGAAAGCCCAGGGTTCACATAGGAGATGGAGTCAGATAACAGGGATGCCTAACAAAAAACCGAGATTTACTAATGAACATTACTATGTCGTACCGTTACAATTCATAAATTAAAGTTCTACATAAGTATGTGCATCATAAGTGATTATTTTCTCTCATTCTCTGCGTTAGCTCATTTGATGAACTCAATGTGTTAGTTTGTCATTGTGATACTGGTCTGCTAATTGTCAGTCAAGTACCTCCCTCATATTTTAAGAGCTGGCAGTGTAATGCACGGATGGCAGGGTGATGTCAGAAAGTCGTTCGGGAATGAATTTTCAAAAAAGGATTAAGCAGAAAGCAAATCTGCAAATAAAATTAAATCTTGCGACTTTCATAATTCTACTTTGAAAATACGTGGCTTGCGGCCGGCCAGAATAGTAGGGAACCGGTATAAGATCTGGGAGGTAATAACAATTGAATGAAATTGATAAGAACGTTGATAGCCTCAGTTAATTTGCTCTGTAGTCCAGTCGGTAGGTTTTGAATAAAGGCGGGTAACCGAAAAAGGTCATAAAAACAATTGAATGTACTTTAACACTAGTCAAAGCCTCCAATTTTCAACCTCTTAGATCCTTAGCTAACTCCGGGAGGCCCGAAAAACGGAATTTTTGCCGACTTTTTTCAAGTTTTCCTCTAAATCTCTTTAACCTTAAGTCCTAGAGAAAAAATGATTAAATTCAATTTAAATAGGAAAATATTTCCTACGACTTTTGTATGAAACATTTTTAGACGAAACTAATTACCACGAAAGCTACAGCTTTCGCAAGAGATTTTTTCCATTTCCAAAATGTGTGCAAAAATACACATTTTTATATTAGGAAGAACCTAAAATACACATTCATACTACATGCAAAAATATTATTTATCTCAGCGTCGGTGTAAACATTGCCTCACAAAAGCACAGTTTGCCAAACAAAATTAAAATACAAAAACATTATGTGTATGTTGGTGTTCCAGCTAAACACTTCAACGCAGGAACAATTCCATTTCAACAAAACTTTGTATACATTATTACTCGGAAATTACTCTGGGAAAATAATTCTGTAGGCGTAAGACACCTTGCTGCTGTCCAAAACTTCGAGTTTTAATTCCTGAAGGGACCTACCTTGTTATTTTACTTTTACCTTAACCTCAAAAACCACCGAAGAAAATGGTTGTTCGAATGAGACGACTAGCAGAATTCATTTTCGACCAAATATTATCACCGCAATTTAAGAAGTTAATAAGGCACCTTCGCACACGCCGATCACTACAACTTATCAAAGCACAATGCACTACACACAAGATTAAACAACACCAAAAACCGCTACATCAAGCAATTTAAGAAACCTATGCGAGGTGCATGAATTCTCATCTCCGCGATCGCACGTTGAAAAGGCAGTTGCGTCGTGCGATTCGACATTATTCGTGAAGCAATCGGGGCTCCTCGGAGCCCTAGAGTTGCTTCGAGGGCAGCTCGCATGGTGCCCTATGGGTGAGCAAAGCCCCACACAATAATTATGATTGACAGCAATGCTAAATCGTTTGGTAGCTTGAAATCGCAGCTCACAGAAGCCTCGGAGAGCGCTGCGCGGGGGTTCGCAAATTAATCGCGAAAATAAACACAGACTATATGTCATTCAAAAATATAAAGGCTGTCTTTCTAGAGAAAAGCCTCTAGAAAAAAAATGTTTCAGAGAAATAGAATACGTGGAAGCTCTCAGCAGCTCTCGTTGTAGAACCGCCCCTGCCTTAGACAAGTCTTGCCACGCCCCAGAAAGCAGTTGGTGCTTCCTCAAAACAACCTCGGCCGCTCCTGGCATCCGTTGCACCACCTTCCCTCGAAACCGGCCTTCCCGAGAAATCGACCCTCGCGGCGGGCAACCGGCGCATGGGCTACCTCAATACATCGCCTGGCGGTGGCCGTGCCGCAGCTCGGCGCCGCGAGGGAAGCGAACAATAAAAGCGAGAGCCTCCGTCGCCATTGGCTCTACCAAACCGCCGATGACTTCACCGGGGTAAGTGGGCGCCTCCTACCTCTTGACGCGGCCGTCTCCCCGCCACCTCCCGCGTCGCGCCGCGCCGCGCCGCGCCGTGCCCGGCTAACAGTCGCGGCTCGCAGCTGACCGCGCCGACACCTGCGCTCCGCCCGGCCCCACGCACCGCCATGCTCAAACTAATCGTCGCCTTTGCGGCGGTCGCGGCAATTAACTTTGCCGCGGCCAACCGCGTGGTGTGCTATTATGACAGTCGCTCGATTCATCGAGAAGGTAAGATCGCATCGCCGGAATATTTAAATAAGAGGTTGTTTGCGATTTTCGAGCCATGCGTAGACTGAGTATCTTCAATGTATTTTTCTTTATTTTTTTGTTGATAATTTTGTGTATTAAGTTACAAATATACCTGTATAATAAAGTTATAGGAAAATAAACATGCCTATTACTTGCTACACGCATTACTTGCGTGTGCCATAAAGAATATAATTAATACTTCACCGAATTGAATGATAGTACAAATAAAGCGAAGAGGGAAGCTTTCTACAAAATTAAATTTTCCAGTTCACTCTCTTTATGTAAAACAATACAGAATTTGTCTGAAAATGAGTTTTTAGCAACTATTACACTCGTGAAATTGAAACCAATAGTGTTTAGCTATACATACAAAATTATCCAATCAGGGCGTTGTATCTCGAAAAATGTATCGCTTTTTCTTACCACTTCTCTCTACAGGCCAATCATAAACTGCGACTCATGTATCTTAGGTGGCGGAATACACCTCGCTTCGGGAGTCGGGAATTTATCAACAATTTCCAAAGCACTCTTAGTACTACCTATAATAATTTATATACGAAAGTAGTTTCCTATTTTTAAAGGAAATCGAGTACAGACAGGCACTGGTAAAAGGTTTCTGTACCATTAATATTCTCGACAAATAAAATAATTATCGGAGGATGCATCATGTAATGAGATTTTCTACGTCGAGACGAAATCATTTTACTGCCGCACATTATTTCCCGTCACTTAAAAATCATTTGCTCCGTGGATATCGACGACCTCACTTCTGAGACTGGAGTGGTACTAGGACGTAGGATATCGCTCGCCCCACACCTCGTAGAGCACATCTGTCGATGTGTTTCTCATTCAATACACAGTTCGAACTCCGTACTTTCTAATTTTAATGTTTAGCATATACAAATTCAAGGCAGACTGATTTTGTAATATTTGGTAACAAAAACAAAAAAAAATAGTAACATTCCCAAATAGCCCTATCAATTAATGTCATTCTATTTGAAGTACTACGATTCGATGTGTTTGTGTTAACTTATTCTACGTAATAATCGGGTCAGCTGAGTGTGAGCTTCTGGCACCAAGGGTAAAGCCCTTCGGGTCCAGCGTTGGGGCGAGCAATGTGGCATCCGACGCGTTGGGGAACTGACCTAGTGGGGAATGGACCATTTTTGTCGTATCCTTCGTTATCAAGATTTTTTTAAGCAAACTACCCACTTCCTCTATTAAGGAAAAGTGCCTCCTACTTGAACAGCGAATTACTAATCCTTCTTTAATGAAGTGATAGAATGATGATGAGGTGTGAAAGAACGATCACAAATACATTCATACCCGAGGCGGGATTTCCAACCCGCGATTCTTCGATTCGAGATCGCCACGACACTACTGCTTTAGCGATCATGGCTACCCGGATTGGCTATCAAAGATATTTTATATTTAAAAAAATAGAAAGTAAAAACTCGTAGAGAAAGTGAATTAGGGGAAGAAATACTGTATATATACACAGATCCACTCCGGTCCACCGCTTGGGGGCAAGAGAGTTGCTAGGAGAAACCGGCCGCTTTTCATATCCTTCACTTAAATATGACCGTACTAAAATATCACGTAGTTAAATATGAAGATACTTAAAACTGTTTAGAGCCGGGGGCATCACTCTAGTCGTACAATTTCAATAGAATAAGTCTTAGAGTGGTTATTTTTCAAACCGACAACACCATAATGTAGCTTCATTATGCGCACGTTTCGAACTGTCCTTTTGCTTATAATGGTAGTAGTGGTAGGAGTAGAGGTAAGGGTGAGTTACTATTTTGTTAGCTATGCAGAAAAATCAATACTGCAGTTCGTTAGCGTTTCGTGAACGAGAGTGTCTAGTTCTTCAAATGTTGCTAACCTCGCGGGCTTTTTATATTTTATTTTTATTTACTTATTTATATTTAACTTTTACTCATCTTTCAACTATAGTTAAAATGATGGGAAAGATTTCTGGAACTCAAGAGAACGGGCGCAGATCTTCTTCCCCATACGTCACATACATTTTTTGCTGGTTTTTTTTTACAAAATAAATCAAAATCAAAATAAAGAAGGGTGCACTGTTACTGGAATGGCGTATCAATACTGCTTTTTCAGAAAGCGGTTGAGGAATACTGCTATTCCTCAATCCTATTAATTGAAAATGAAATCCGGGTTTGGAATATTAGCGCAAATACGCCCTATCATTAGTCATTTTTCCTTTAAGTGTTCATGATTTTATAACAAAAAAGACCTTCAGATATTTTGTTACGGTCAGAAGCTAGCTTCCTCAAACGTAAATGAACACCATACAACGAAATTCTACTCTTTATCTTTTGGGAGAATCCGATCACGAGTAGACATCAGCTCACATATCTTCTTTGAGATCTTTGACATTCCGTGCGTCAAACTGTTTCAGACACGCCATTATACAACTCTAATTCTAAAATAACAATCAAGCACAAGCATTAAATATGTTATAAGTAGTCACAATTTTATATTTTGTATCTAATACGTTTGTAACTCGTTCATATATCCCAAGATTTTTGTACATTTGTTAGAACAAAACATACCAACACAGTTGAGATATTTACTAATCTTAAACAAATTGGAAATCAAACTTTTAAAAAAGATACTGGAAATAATTGATTTTACTTTCTTTTTAGGTCCAGGAAGAATGATTCCTTCCGACATTGATCCTGTGTTATCTTATTGCACACACTTAATTTATGGTTATGCAAAAATTGATTCCCATCAAAAGATCGCTGCTCTAGATGAATCATTAGATTTAAGCTCGGGTAAAGATAATTATCGGGCAATCACAGCCCTAAAGAAAAGGTTTCCACAAGTGAAATTCCTGTTATCTGTGGGAGGAGGAGCAGATTTAGATGACGCAGATAAATACAATAAAATAGTAAGTTGAAATGGTTCACTTTAATCTTAGTTCCAGCACAGCATATCAGAAAAATGTATATTTATAACACTATTATATTATTTATATCATTATTACACATAACATGATCTTTTCAGCTGGAAGATTCAAGTAATCGAGCCCAATTTGTTCATTCCGTAAAGGCTTTCTTGAAGCGTAATGATTTTGATGGATTAGATTTATCTTGGCAGTTACCAGAAATTTACAAGAAGAAAGACAGAGGCACTTTTGGTATGAATAAGAGTCAGAGAAAATTACCATAAAAAACATATTATCATTGTTTTTAAGAGATTTGTTTTACACAGGTTCTATATGGCATGGTGTCAAAAAGACTTTTGGATATGCTCATAGTCATAAAGATGAAAAAGCTGATGAGCATAGAGAAGGCTTTACTAAACTTGTACAGGATTTAAGAAAAGAACTTAGAGATGACAACCTTTTGTTGACAGCAACAGTTTTGTCTAATGTAAATGCTTCGGTAAGTTAATCCTATTGTTTTTCTCATTGAGTAACAGTATTAGTAACAAAAGGAGTAAGCCCCAATATCAACTACCTATAATTAATACAATTAATTTTTGAGGTCCCAGACTTTTATAGAACATTGTTGATGTACAAATGAGACACTGGTATTCAAACACTACATAATAAAAAAGGTATGAATAAAATATAATAAAACTAGAACTATAAAGCAAAAGTGGAATAATATTTAGTTCAAGTAGGAACACTGACACAACAATAAGAAGCAACATTTGTAATACATTATTCATTCACTTCATACTGTAAATATTTGATTATCTGGAATCATTAATTTCTACAGAGTGATATTTAGAAAATATTGAAATTGCTTGTACTAATCCAGGTTCTCCGTCATCAGTAATGAAATATTAAATATTGATTTAAAATTTACATATTTTTGAATTTCGAAAATCTATTGCACATTATTTCACTCATAACAAATATTAAATTCATTCTCGTTTCCAAATGTAACTTTTTCCTAATTCATTTGAAATAAGATTTCGTATCTTTCAGTTGTATTTTGAAGCTGATAAATTAGCCAAAGAAATTGACCAGATTCACCTCAAAGCCTTTGATTTCAAATCGCCTCAAAAAGACCCAAATGAAGCTGACTATTCTGCTGCTCTCTTCCCTTCTGAACAGAGAGATCCTTTTTTTACTGTTGATGGTCAAGTGAGGTCCTTCATTGCGAGAGGATTCCCAAGTGAGTGACTGGAATTAAATCTTGTTGCTTTACATCTTACTGCATAAGAATTTGGCATACGATTTTCAAAATGAATGCTTCCATTTTATATTTTTACAGGCAACAAAATTATCCTGGGTATTCCCACATATGCTGTAACATGGAAACTAACATCTGAGAGTAAGATTTCTGGTGTTCCACCCATTCAAGCAGAAGGACCAGGTGAAGAGGGACCTCAAACAAAATCACCAGGGCGACTTTCGTATGCAGAAGTGTGCTCATTAATTGATAATCCTATTAATAAGGGAAATAATAAGCATCTTTTACGCCGTGTCAATGATCCAGCAAAGAAATCTGGGTCATATGGCTTCCGGCTTCCTGACGGTGATTCAATAGAAGGCCTCTGGGCTTCGTTTACTGACCCTGACACAGCAGGGGATAAAGCTGCTTATGCGAAAGCTAAATCTCTGGGTGGGATTGCATTTTGGGACATTTCTCTGGATGATTTCCGAGGTGTGTGTAATGGAGTCAAATATCCAATTATTCACACTGCAAAGAACAGATTAGTGTAGCCAATATTTATCAAAAATTTCATCTAAAATGGAGAACCATTTTCATTTTTTTTTCAAAGGTTACGAACACAAATATTTTAAGGCATAATAACCTGCCCCTCTTGTGTCAACAAAATTTACATGCACAAAGTTTATTGTAGATTGTGGGTGTGAAAATAAATATCGAAATTCTACACAAAAATATATTTAAGTTTATTAAAGTTTAAGTATTCTAACCTTGTACTATTGCCAAAGATGGTAAGATGGATCAAGCATAGTTAAGCAAAGGAAAAAAATCAAAACTTTCATTAAGTAGCATAATAAAATCAAATTTGAATTGCAACATTACTCACGTGCATCATTGCATCATTGCATCATTGGCTGTGGCTGGTCCTTAGAAAAGGCAAAGTAGGCACACTCTACCCTGATGAATATGTTCCAGTTTAATACATTTCATAATAATAAAAACATTAAAATTACTCTTACAATTTTAACATGATGTAAGTTTTATTCATTTTCAAATGTACAATGAAATTTCCTTATCATGGCACGACCCGTATTTCTATTTGAAGAGTTTTCTAGCAGCTCGTGCACCATGAGATGTCTTCTCTTCTCACAGCATCTCCGGCTGCTTGCACCTCTCAGGGTAGGTACGACCCGGGGCTGCCTCGCTTCGCACTTTATTCTGAGAAAATGCCCTGTAGTGAGCGTAGAACAGTAGCGTGTTGGGACCATGCGTGACGCATACGCGTTGTGCGTAGGCCAGCGAACTCGCACGCTGCCTACCCGCACGGAAGATTCCGATTTTCACTCAAAATGCAAGCCGCGGAACGCGTGTGTTTGTTTTGTTGCGTTAACGAGCGGAGAAAGTGATTATTATTTAGGAAGTGTGTTTTTTTTATTTTAAAATAGTACGCTGCGAATTAATACTGATTTAATTTTTATTTTTAAATCTCGTTTTACGATAATGTAAAAGATTCAGGGAATCGTCAAGCGTTTTCTACGTATGCCGTTTTCTCGTTTTAACGATGTAGAAAAGACAAATTTTTGACAATGGCCGACCTACCTCTTTACGTACAGAGTACGGTTGTACATCGTGCTGGCGAGAAAAATGGACGAAAATTCAATTTTTCAGGGTAAGATTTACACAAATGGCTAACAGGTAGTGAAGTTAAAGGTAAGCTTTATTGTTGGCCATGTCATTTATTGACAATTAAGGAGAGTACTTGGAATAAGGGTGTCCAACAGTGTTCAGGTAAAAGGAAGGACACTCGACAAGCAAAAAACCACAACCAACTGCATCAACACATTTCTTTTTATCTATTTCTTTTTTCTCCATTTGCGATTCAAGTGAAAAGATTCGCCCACAAAATGCAGATGAGGATGGTCTGAGCGTTTGTTTGTTGTTTTTTGGTCTCTAAACAGAAACACTATCATGTATGCACGTGTCATCTGTGTGTTCAAAAAAATGATTTCATGTTTTCTATTCTAAATTAAACAATAAACGATACAACCTAGAAGATGTTAGTATTATAAAATAAACAACAATTTTTTAAAATTTACTAGGAGAACATTTAAAAAACAATGGACTGTCCTCCCAAATTGAGGACGCTTGCCAACCCTTCTTGGAATAGAGATGCATATTTTGACATGAAAACTTTGACATCGTCAGCACTGCTCGATACGGTCCGGATCATGCGACATATAGCGGCACGACCGAGAAAGACTCGAAATGCTGTGAGATATTCCATCGTGAAGACAGGCGCCAAAAAATAGAAACCCAATTATAATTCTTTGTTTAGGGTACGGTTCACGTAAAAGAACTAGTCAAGCCGAGAAATATTGTCTCTTCGCTTTCGGTTCATTCTGCCGCAATGCAACGTCTTCGCATACGCACCATCTTCGCTGCCACATTGTAGTGCCAAATAACTTTCAAAGGCAAGCTTTCTCGTTCGCTCGCGCAGATCCAAGCCACGGCGAAGCTCGGCCCTTCGGCCCTCAAGTTCATTACAAACAACTATCCAACGCATCATTACCAATTCACTTTAATAAGAAAGCACGTTCATGGTTAAAGTTCACTCTCTGCAATTAATAAAAGTCACCTTTAAAAAAATAATTAAAACCTGCTTTGTGAACACACTGGCCTCCACTATTGAAGCTATGAAGTTGCAAACAAGTTGTGAAGAAAGGACACTACAAGCTGTGTTTAGAATCTAATACAACCAACAGTTCACAGTGAACGAGAGTCAACCCCTAAAATAAAAATTATCCGGGAATTATCCTACTTCCTCTCAAAATAACTCAAAAATGTTAGTTATTCGTAAATGTGAACCTGATATGAAATAAGAGAAAAAAGAATGTATAAATATTTTGTTTTTACATTTTTTTCTCCAATCAACCTCTGAGCCACGAGAGCACCGCGAAATTAGGTGTATAAATTGTACACCTTCCTATCAGTATTTAGTTTTTAGCTTCTGAAACAACGCAAATCCTCGCAAGCGATGATAAGTATTGGATTTCTCCTGAAGTGTTGCAATGGACGAAGGGAATGACGTCTGTTCATGAACACAGCGAAAATTTCTGTTACATTTCACTATTCAGAACAGCATGTAGATTTGAAGCATTCAAGTGTAGAACGGGTCAACAAGGATGGGACACAGATGTGTGAATGGCATGGTGAAAAATTTCATGCACCGTGATTAGGGCTGCCACCTTCGATATCAAGAAAATTTATTTTTTTATTCGCTTAGCGAATTCTTTTAAATATGTTTGGTAACATACTTTCAAGTGTATTTTTATTTGTTATAACTTTTTGTAGTAACTCAATTGCAATGGCTGGCTAACAAATCTGAACTAGAGGTGTTTCAAAATGGTACAGACTTTCCCGTATTCTATCTATTTTCTATTTCCTTTGGTCTCGGCTAGCAATTCGGACTTGTCACATACTCTTCTCAGTTCCCACCCAAAGTACATTATTTAAATTTTACGGTTTCCTAATAGTAGAACGGAAATATTACTTTAAGAATATTAAAGAACGGTAAACTTTCGTCATAAATAGCCATTTTCTTTGAAAAATTTAGATAGGTTTTTAAAGAAAATGGCGTTTAAGCGCTACTGTAAAGTTAGAATTTTAACCTCTCTTCACAGAAAACTATTGAGTTTTAAAAATTTACATTTGAAGTCATTTCAAGCACGTCAGTCACAAATGCAATAGTGTGCACACATTGCTGGATAGATGATTACTAAAGGCGTGAGATATATTTCACAAAACTTACATTTGAGCAATTTTTGACAAAACAAGAGAAAACAGTAAAATTAATTACTTGTCATATAGCACTATTAGAACAACGTATAGCGCAATTATCACTATTCGATAGAAAAGTTTGGAAAACAAATTTGGGGCCATTTTTAAGAAAATGGCGTTTGAGTGTATCTGAAAATGTGGAATTTTGAGATCATTTTTACAGAAAACTGAACAGTTTTAGAGAAATTTTATCTGACATTTAAAGCACATGTGGTTGTAAATACATTAATGTGAACAAATTGTCGCTAATGTAAATATTAACCTTAGAGACACAAAAAAAATTGTAATTTTTGAAAAACAAAAGAATAGACCAACATGGAGTTTATGTTATCTTATAGAGTAAATTTAGCCAAACCAAATTTATCCTTACCAAAAGTTTAAAGAAAAAATTTGGAGCCGATTATGAAAAAATCTTGTTTCTGTAATTTTTTAACATTGCACATATTGCGCGCAATAGTGCTCTAAATCTACCAAAATTTTCAAAAAAGAACGTACATGACCTTAACGAAAGACAATTATGGACAACAAATTGAATTTGAAGGGAAAATGTCTTTAATTTTGTAGTTGTAAGAAAAGACGCCGAAGAAAATTCACTCTTTTAAAATTTTGTAAAATTCAGAATTAACTGTGAAAATCGGGCCTGTGCCATTTGTATGTAACTTAATTTTTACAAGATATTTAAAGAAAAAAATTGGAGTAGTTTTCGGGAAAATATTCAAAATGTCCGGAGGGCTTCATGTAAAATCACCCCAAATTTTAAAGAATGTTTTTCAAAGTCTCAAAGCTTCGATTCAAGCGAGATGGACAGGAGTTTCTTCAATTTGGAGAACATCCTACACATGCTTAAGGCGCTAGTCGTGTGCACAGACGAACGTTTTGTCGTCAATTGATTTTTCGGTATCAAGGACCCACAACAGGGATTCTGGTTATAATACGCGTTAGAGGTTTTTTTTCTTAATTTGGCAACTGAATTTATCCTCTTTTCCGTTAGCAGGGCCCGGCAACAAATTTTTTTGTCTGCCGAAAATCCGCCATTTTTAGGCGCAGCATTTCATAACTTCTCCTATACCCTCTTTAATTTTTTCTTTACATTTTTAGAACGGATTATAGTAAATAGACTGTAACATGAGAGATATTGCTCAGTTGTTTTCTTTTGTTTTTCAACAAGAACACTTTTTCTTTCAATTATCTCACGCCATTAATATTTATATTACAAGCGGCTTGTATACATCACTGCATTTGTGAGTAAAAGTGCTTCCAGCGGATTCCAATGAAGTTTCTTAAAAACTCAAAAGTTGTCTGTGAAAAAGCGGTACAAATTTCGCATTTACATCACTAAAGCTTAAAAGACATTTTATTAAAAGCCGCTCCAAATTTTTCAACGAAAATTTCCATTTAGGACTAGATCCTCTTCTATAATATTTCGGTTCTACCTTTAACAAACCGAAAAATTGAGATAAGTTAAAAAGAAATGCATTTTCGGCTGTGATAGATGTCATCTGGCAAGGGAATGTGGCAAGATCAAAAAGCTAGCGCAGACCAAAGAAATTAAAGACAATTTTTTTTAAAAAATACGAGAAAGTCTGTGCCATTCTGAAGCGCCACTAGTTTAAGTATGGAAATTGTATGAGAGCCATTCCATATTTGTTTTAGAAATATAGTCAAGTCGATTTGGCTTCACAAAAAACAAATTTGAACAGGTTTGTCATTTTATTCGTTTCTATGAATTTCTCCTCAGTTCCAATATTAATGCTCGATGGACGCACTTAATTGAAATAAAAGTTTATAATTGGATTTGCTCAGGTAATTTGTTTCCATTTTTAAACAGAGTTTTTCAAGAGGAGCTTGTTCCTTCCGAATAGACGAGAAATTACGACTTCTCGCCGCTTTCTTATTCACGTCAAATTAAGAAATTAGTTGGCAGTGAATACTTTCACGATATCAGTTTCAGTGACATTAGTTTCAGTTCCTTGTATGTATCGTTATTGAGAATGTGTTGCCATATATGTTCCCTATTTTGTTTTTTACTTCTTTTTTAAGCAAATGTAGTTTCTGGCTGACATGAAGTTAAAAATACAATTCTGTTTCAAGAATACGTGACATGAAACACACAAAATAAGTTCTATTCAACTTCAAGCACTAAATGAAAATATAAAAAAAAATACTTTGCCTCTTAATGAATTCTGAATAGATTTAATACAAGTATTTTCCCCATGTCTGATTTGCTTTATTCTGTTAATATTTCTGTCTATTAATTAAAAATTATATATAATATTTTTTTCTTTCGGAAATATCAATATGGATGGATGGGAAGATATCAGGCTAGTTAGTCAAATTGTACGGCGGTAGCCTCGGTGCTTGCAAGGAGCTGGCTGCATTTTCCGAAATGGGAAAAGTCAGCTATGTCATCTCCACATATTCTAACCTTGGTGTAACTGAACCATTAAAATACATTTTGTTCGTATAAGAGTCGTTCGCGTAATTATTTCTCACCATCAGTTAATCTTACAGATCATGTATCCACAACATGCGATTCGTGTTGATAAGATTTAGAGAACGTAAATGACAATAAACGACAATATTAAAAAGTTGTCATAAAAAACTTAAAAGTCAAACTACACGCCGACCCGAAAACGGCGTATGCAACACGGCTCAAAATGTTATTACGCGTTAACTATGACGGGTGGGTTACACAAGTCGAATCTTTACTAAAATTAGTGGTGCTACAACAGCACGTACGATATTGTTAATGGTTAATATGACAATTTCTATCTAATACTTCAACTGCCGTTTGAAAAATTCTTAAATGAATCGTGAAAAATGCATATACATTTTTAAATTCAAATGCTTCACAGAAAACAGCTTTCTACCATTGAATTCAGTGTTTTCACGTTCTGCATAAATGTACCAACGACGCGCGAAGCGTATTTTAGTCGTAAATAAAATTATTAGTTCATATTAACGCGAACGAACGGCTGCAGTCATTATCGCCTTCTTTTAACACTACGGCGTTACAACAATGTATTGCAACAAGCAACAATGGCCGCTAATTCTTATGGGATACTGCGACACGCCAGAAATCCATCACTGCATTTATGACAGGAAAATATACACGGGGCGAATAATTACTATAGAATTTGATATAAAACATTCTAGACCAAAGAATACACGTTGTCAGGACTAGTCAACAAGCGTAGTATTTCCATGTTTGAGAGCTGAACAAGATATTGTTGTGTGATGCATGGCCTCAGGACATAATTTTGAATAAATGACTAGACGGCGTTCGAAATCGAGTTTCCGAAATGATTTAGAATGGATCAGTCACTTTTCAGCAACCGTCTTGGACGGTACTAATATTGCTGACTTAGGCTCGGTAACCATTTTGATGTTAGGGAGCAAGAACTTACATTAATTAGGCGAATTTTGTGTCTTATGTAAATTAAAATTCAAGGGTGTTATTATGCCATGTGTTGTAATTTTCGAGTTGTAAATAAAATGAAATAGACTGTGTGAGGGATTATAGAAGATTAGAGGCGTACCCGAGTATGATTAATTCATTTCTTTAAGTTAAACAAAACGAGCAAGTCGCGTTTGCCAATGATATTTGCTCAATGAATTAGACCAGATATTATTATTATTATTAAACAGTTAAAACATTCGGGAAATATCAGAAATGTATCCACTGACAGAATTTTCTGCGATGGAGAGGAGTGCAACGAGAACATCACCCGGACGTTATCTCGAACGAAGGCATTCTGAAGATTATCACTTAGATACTTCTGTAAGCTTATTCACTTTTTCAGAAAGAAATACCTTACGGTACTGTTAATGTATAGAGGAAACAGGATTCAGACAATAAATTAGAACAAATTTAAAGATTGTAATTTCATTAGAATAAATATGCAAGTTTTATTGTCAAAACCTAATAAACGACTGATAATTATTAGTAGTAGTGCCATCACTTTTTCGATAGGTTTAAGACAGCAAAACTTCCAGGTATCGCAGCTCAGTACAGAGATGCACATCCACATACAGAGTAAATTAAATTAGTGGTACTACAAAACGGCACAGATTTTTCCCTATTAGTTTTCTATTTCATTTGGTCTCGTTCAATTTGCCACATACTCTTGTTAGATGCTATCTATCGCCACCGAAAGTACATTTTTTTGAAATTTACTTGAGTTTTCGGTTTCTTAATAGTAGAACGGAAATATTATTTTAAGAATATTATAGAACAGTAAAACCTTTTCATAAATGGCAATTTTCTTTGAAACCATTGGAGCGGTTTTTAAGAAATTAGCTCTTAAGCCCTACAGGAAATTCGAAATTTGAAGCACTTTCTTCACACACAAATTTTGAGTTTCGAAAAACTTTATTTGAATCACTATAACTCTGAAATATAACAGCGTTTACAAATTGTTATAAATATGAATATTAACGGCAAGAGAGATCTTACAAAAAAATTACATTTGTGTAATTAAAAAACCTCTAACATATTTAAAGAATGCAATTAGACCTATCCTTTCGAAAAAGTTTGAAAAAATAAAGAATAAAATAATAAGATGAATAAAAGTGAAATGAAACTTAATATATCCCAATAATAAATAGAAAGAGGGTATGACACAATACACATTTTGCTACTTAGCAAAGTCGATACCGCTAGAAAGAAAATGAAAATTGATAGAAAAATAATTAAATATAACATTATATTCATCAAAATTACTTGGTTTTGAAATGCATTACTCGCTCATTCCTACATCTTATTAAGCAAAGTAAATTCATCTATTTGTTTTCACATTTAACTCGATTAAAGGATGGATTTTAAAATAGGTTTTAAATAATTAATTTTAAAACATACATCTCGAATGTACGAAACGAGCAAAGATGAAATAATACAAAATCTAACTTACGTAGCATCCAACTGCCTGTCAACACATTTTACGTTCACGAAACGCTGTAAATTCGGAGCGGGTGACTATGTTTGACGGCAAATTACTCAAGAAACACATATTTTTGCAAAACTCTACATGACAATATTTGAAGATCTGTTTTTGATGAACGCATTTCATTAATAATAATAATAATAATAATAATAATAATAATAATAATAATAATTATCTTGATATTTGCAGTTGTAGGAAAACGCCGAAATAGCTTTAAATATTCTAACAATCAGGCATTTCAACGAACACGAGACCTGCACCATTCTCGTAAACGTTCTTTAAGCTATCATAAGTCTAAAATTAATCCAAACAGTGTTTGCCGTTTAAAAAAAGATGGTTTAAAGATAATAAAAATTGCCTACATGACACAAAATTTCGCAAAAAAATTCTCATTTTCGAAAAATTGAACGTGATATTTGTAGACCTGTTTTTGATGAACACTTTTCATTAAGAAAAGAAAAAAAAATCTTCATATTTGTAGTTGTAGGAAGACGCCAAAAACATTTTCAATGTTTTCAATTTTCAAAAATCAGTTATTTCAACGAATTTGAGACCTCTGCCATTCTTTAGTGTCCAATAACTATAACCTTCAATAACACTATCATATAACAAAAAATTAAGAAACATTTGGATCCTTTTTTGAGAACGCCCCAGGGGCTTCATGTAAAGTACCCTCAAATTTTGAAGAATGTTTTTCAAAATAGCAAAGCTTCGACTCGAACCAGATAGACAGGGACTTTTTCAATTTGGAAAAACTCCTTCGCAAGGTTTAGGCGCAAATGGAGTTCATAGGCCGAAGGACAGACATACGTTTGGAAAAAAACTTTTTCCAGAAAAAGACAAAGAGAAATTTCCTTTGAAATCTCGAAATCGAGTTTCCGCAGCATTACATAACTTTCTCTATACTACGTAATTGCTCCGTATATACGTACACATACGAGAAAGTACCTAGTGGTGCTACAGAATAGCGCAGACGTACTCGTACAAGTCTTCTACTTTCTTTCTATCGAAAGCCCCGGCTACATTTTGTTTTTCTCGCATTTACTAAAGTAATTAGAGGAAATGTAATCGTGCGCTGGAAAACTTTGGATATTCGATACAAAAAATCTTATTGCTGGGACCTGGTAAGGAAAAATTGGATAAATCCAGTTGCTAAATTTAGGGGAAAAAATCATCTAACACTTAGTGTAGGCAGAATCCATGTTTTGTGCGTACTTCATACCGAAAAAATCGATTGACAGCAAAATGTTTGTCCGTCTATGCACAGCGCTAGCACATTAACCGTTCAGCCGATTTTCTCCAAAATTGATATTCCCTAATCGTTCAAGCTGATGTTGCGGACACTGGAATTTGAAACCTATAATTTAGTTTTTGGGGGTTCATTACCTGAAGCCTCCCGGACATTTTCCAAAATAGGCTCAATTTTTTTTTGGTTAACCTTTGTTACTGAAGAGTGCAAAGGACGTTAAAGAGAATGTTGCAGGTCTCATTTTCGTTGACAATACGGATTTTTCGAAAATTGGAAAATAAAATTAAAACTTTAAAAGTGGAGATAGAGATGTTTGTCTCAGTCAGTCTGTTGTAAAAAATTAGCTCTTTAAAAAGGGTGATGTACATTTTTTGAAACAAACGAGTAGTTTTGAGGTATTTTGGTATTGAAATTTGCAAAAAAATTCCCAAAAACCACTCCTAAGTTTTTCTTTAAATTTTCTCCACATATGTAACAAGAAACGGTAAGAAATATACCGCTAGTCTCATTTTCGGGTATTGCTCGATTGTTTCAAAAATTGCAAACACAAATTTAAAACTACAAAATTCAAGAGATTTTTTCTTCCGACAAAGTCTGATGTACAAAATTAGTTTTTAAAAACAGGTACAACTTTTTGATAAAACGAATAGTTTTTGCGTTATTTCTGGTTGGAATTAATGAATTATATACACGCTTCACACCCGCTACGGGCCATGAAAAAAATTGAATGATACGATAAATAATTATTATTATCTATCATATTATATCTATATATATTAATTATTATTAAATAATTATTATTAATCAATTTTAATAATTTCCTATTGAAAATGCCAATATTAATTATATTTTTGGTTTCTCGCACTTTTACTTTACTTAATTTTACAATTTGTATTCCCAATGTATTGATGTACAAGTACATAAAGTTGACAGGCCGATGACAGGCTTTCATCGTTCCTTCATATCGAAGGCAAAAATTCTGAAAGAGCTGTTATTTAGACCATCATTCATAAAATTATATTGTCCAGTTTAAGATATCATACTACTAGGGAGTGCATCATCACTTAGATACTGTATATCTGGGTGATGACACAACGCAATGACAGAATACGATGTGTTTATCAAAATATTGATTTTCAAATAAGGTCATGTTGAATTTTTTGAAAATAAGCATTTTTGGGCTAATTTGGAGACTAAAATAATGCCCAATCCGAATTATACTGCGCTTTGTTGTAATTCCAAACATTTGGATGCTTCATATGATATTTCATACATCTTCGTTCGTTTTTTACATTCGACTTTTATTTAAATTTACACATGAATCTTTTAGAAATTATTTAGTTTTAGATTTATTTAGTAAAACAAAAACTGTAAAAAACTATATGTGACGTATGGGGGAGATGATCATCTGTGCACCTTTTCTTGAGTTCCAGAATCCCTTCCCATCATTTTAACTATAAATAATTGAAAGGTGAGTAAAAGTTAAAGATAAATAATAAAAATAAAATTTAAAAAAGTGCAAGATTAGCAATAATTGAAAAAATTGACATTTTTATTCCCGAGTTACAGAAAACTTGTTTGCATCGGTAAACGAATTGCAGATATGATTATTCTGCATTGCTAACAAAATAGTAACTCGCCATTACCTCTACTACCATTACAAGCAAGAGTTCAACAAAACGTGCCCCTTTACCTCCAGAAGCAAAACAGGGGGTCATCTCAGCATTTGCTCAATGGATCAGGGAATCTTTACAAAAATGAACGAGAATGAGGTCATTCACCCGGAAGCTGAAATACATTATTTGTTACAAGCATATTAAATCTATTTTTTAAATATACCATACACATGTAAACTAATTCATTATATATCACTGTTTTGCTAAATTAAATATTTTTTTGATGACCAGAAAAGTCTCTAATAGTATAGAAACAGTTATGCAGCAGAAAATATTTTACTTTTAACTTAAATTTGTGAACCGACTTCATTTGTTTGTCATCTGGCAATGCGTTGTGAAGTTACGTACGTGTATTCTATGTGGATTTTTGACAGTGAGCTGTTGAGACTGACACTTGATGAATGTGATTTCTTTGTGTTGTAATTATAAATATCAGTATTGCATGAAAATATGTTCCCACCGTTAAGTAAGTCAATTTTGACAAATTTGTAAATAATAAATAGGTATGGCAGTGGTAAGATTAAAAGCACAATGAAGAGAGGCTTTCAGGGATGGCATTTTTTCATTATTTGAATAATTTTCTTATGCAATCGAAAGGTCTGGGTACTACATGATGAGCTTCACCAAAATATTGTGCCAGGTCTCAAATGGGAATGCACATTTGCCAAATACATGCAACGAGCTTCATTATGGTTGACAGAATTTGAAAGAATTCTGAATGCGTAACACAATGAACTTAAATTAGTGATTATTTCTGTTATATGTACATTCCATTTGAGGTATGACGGAATTGAGAGACCTAGAAATTTTGTTACCTGAACATCAGCTAATTGCATATTGTTCATTTCCAATAAAACATGCGATTGCTGATTTGAAATGCAAATATGCATTGAAACTGTTTTTCCTTTGTTAACTATTCATTTGTTATTACAAAACCAATTTGATACCTCTGAAATCGTACTATTTATTGTTTCTTTTTTGCCAAGAACCTTCGTGTCATCAGCAAACAGAACCATTCTTCCGTTTTTAATAGACGAGAGCATATCGTTTACGTATAACAGAAATAGGATAGGACCTAAGATTGAGCCTTGCGGAACCCCATATACAATTGGTAAAGAATTGGAAAGATAAGTAAATAACGTCCTTTCATGACAGTACGGTACTTCCGCTCTTTGAGATCGATGTTTAAGGGACGAGTTTTTCCAATTTAGGGCGATACTACAAATTCAGTAAGATAATTTTGATAGCAAGATGTTATGGTCAATAATGTTAAAAGATTTCGAAAGATCTAAAAATATTTCCATGGATGCTTTATTTTTGTCTATTGATGAAGCAACATCTTTAAGAAAAGGAAAAAATAGCAGTTTCCGTAGATTTTGATTTTCTAAAACTGTCTTGCAAGTCTAAAACGCTTCCTTTTTCTTGAGAAAGTTTCCATTCGCGTGTAGGAAAGCTTCTCTAATATTTTTGAGAAAATTGACAGAAGAGATATTGGTTGGTAATTTTGATTTCGTTTTTGTTCCCCTTTTTAAAAAGTGGCTTAATTTTTGCTGTTTTGAATATATTCCTGTGCATAAAGAAGCATTGAAAATGAAAGTTAATGGGTGTATAAAGGCAGGTACACAAGCTTTCAATAAAAAATCCGGAAATTCATCAAAACCAGATGAATATTTATTTTCATTATACTATTATCAGGATTTCATTAGAAGTTTTGGAAATGAACATAGTGTCTAAACTTTTTGGGAAGGGATTGATGTTCAATTTTATGGTTTTAGTCCCTACAGGAGTTCAGCCGCAATTCTAGAAAAGTGTTGGTTGAAGAGGTTAGCCACAATATCCGTATTACTTGCTTCTCTTTCATTATCCTTTAAAACCACATTCTCTACTAAGTAACACAATGTGGTGGTCATATTTTTTACGATATTCCACATTGTTTTAGTTTGTTAATAGCATTCAAAATATTCTGATTATTTTTGCCTGAATAATTACTTTCCTTAAAATTCTTTTGTATTCCTGAAAGTAGACATGTAAACTGGGTGTTATGTTATTTTTAGAAATAAAGTAAAATGTACATTTGTTTTTACATAATGTTCCAATTCCTTATGTGACCCAAGTATAATTTTTTCGTGAAAAAATTTTTATTTTCTCTTTTGGTGAGGAAAACATACATTAAAGTGAAATGAAAGCTTTGAGAAAAATATATTATACATTTTTATTTGTGTCAACAGCGTTATTTGAAATACTGGTAGCTTTCAGGTATTTATTATCAGATTGACTCCAATGACTCAGAAACTCATTTTTGTGATTTGTGTCTTGTTGGGACATGATTTCGTACTTGCATAAAAAATAGAATTGTCAAATTTGTGTTGATATTTGCTTGAAAATATTTAAATTTTGCACCAAATGTACAATTTGTAATGAATAGGGTTAGGCAGTATTTAAATACATTTTATATTTGAAAATGTTTATACATATGGTTACAATACAATATTTATTGTTCACTATGACTCTCAATTCCTAATTTACTGTAATTGACAATATATTGTTGTAATAAAAAATATATAATACAAATTTGTTATATAATTACACTTTTTTGAGTAAAATGTACTTCCTGGAATTAACGTTTAAATGTTGAAAAGTTGTAAATGTGAAAACTCTGCAAAATAACAAGTAATTATCCGAAGGCAGACGTTCGTGCATTTTTAGAGAATCGGGTTTTTCATATTTGTGTTTGTTTGTCATCTTATAGAGTGCATTTAATACTATGCCTACCAAAAGTTTAAAGAAAAAAATTGATGCCATTTTTGAGAAATTCTTATTTTTGTAATCTTTTTTTAATTGCAAGCAATACTGTACGAAAGCTACTATTTTTTTTTTAAAAAAAAATTACATGACCTTAATCAAAGATCTAATTATTGACAACAAATTTTATATGAAATAAAAACCTCTATCTTCAATTCTGTAGTTGCAGAAAGATGCAGTAAAAAATCAAACTTTTGAGATTTTCAAAAATTTAGAGTAAAACCTGAAAATCTGACACATATCATCTTAATAAGTATATTTTACTCTATTCTTACATGACATTTAAAGCTATGCATTTGGTACTCAATACTACCAGGATCTAGCCTGTGCATCGGTTCAACCACTATTTAAAAATAACTTTTCTTCAAAACCTTTGAAAGAAAAAAGAGAAATAAGAATTGATTTCATACTTTGAAATCAATTGATTCTTGAAGTGTAAAGTTTTTCATTGTTTACTCCTCAAAATAATTTAAAATACTCTGAAACTCACGAGGCCTACTTTGGACCAAATAAGAACCATTTTGAACTTTCTGTTTTTGTGTGTAACTATTTCTCAACAATAATTTCAACAATGTTGAGCAAAGAATAGAAATGACAATGATGAGAATTTTGAATTTAATCTTCAATCGTTCTTGGATAGGAAACAAAACCCAAAGTATTTCATTAAATCACAAGCCAAAATTTATTACAAATTTGTTTGTAATAGAATTGTTCATTCATGTTAACTATTTCAAAATTTAACACATACAACTTCCTTCAAATAGAACAAAACTCCAAAATTTCACACTTTTAGTGACATTGCACCTTAAAACACCACCAATGAGGAACACATCTTTGCTCTTGATGATGTCATAGGTTTAGGCCTTCTAGGGTCATTGAAATTCAAATCTTAGATTATTATTCCATAATAACAAGAGAATATGCATGATAGAATTTTTAATTTATTAAAAAACATAATACAAAGTTAAAAAAATCATCATCATAACAAATAAGATGATTTTTAAAATTTGAAGATTCTACTCTACACAATAATTTGTACCTTCATTATGGATGCAGAACATAAGATCTTGTGTTGCAAAATGCTTATGCTGAGAACTGGGATACAATAAAAATATTGAAAATTAAGTTTGTCTGATAAATAATCATGTCTCAATCAGATATGTGCATAAAAATAAATCTACAAATAAAAATTCCACACATCTTCTGACATATACACATGACATGTTTTTAATCATCTACTTCTCTCTTTTACTATTTACAAATGATGCCTCTTTTCTAAAACAGTTTAGAACACACTAAGTACTGACCATGACTCGTTTCCTTTTTCTACCGAATCAATAAATTCCCAAGGATCCAAAATATTAATTATTTTTTTCTTTGGAAACAGTCCAGTGGAAATTAGGGGTATAAAATACATAGATCTTTATAAATATAGAAGGCACAATGAAACTGCTTTGATTCAACTCTCACAAAATTATCAAAAATTTCACATATAAAAATTTGGGACTGAGTGAAAAGGATTGTCCCAATCTAAGTTTATTGGTCCACAATTTATATCTTAACTTTCCCTTCACAAATTGCAAACCATGATCAGTTGCAAGAAAGGCATATATAAAAATGTCAGTTTGTTAATATTCTAAATAACCTAAATTCATTAACACAATACTCAATAGCTCAGGTAAATAAGAAAGATCATAGATCTGGACAAAACCACACATTCTTGAAACAACTATTGCATTCACATTTTTCCAATAAAATTAAAGAAAATATTAAAGAATAACAATTCAAAATTATTTCAAAAGTCAAAATTTACTTTATTCTACATTAAAATGTTAGCTATTCTATCATCTACACAACCAGAATATTAGAACTCCGGCAGATCTTATCTGCACATTCAGAATGGCGCAGGCAAATCCCTCTAACGAGCTCAAAAAGAGCATTTAACTACTATTTCTATGGGCTCACTAATGTTACAAAAATCACCACGCTTACTGAATTCTAGCACCAGCAGGGCTGCTTTGAGCTTGATCAGTATGTACATCATGAAATCTAAAAAACACAAAACCACATATTAAATTGAATTTGTGCTAACCCCAGGAAAGTCTTTCAGAGAATTACAACACTTACAGGTTCTTCATGTAAATATTTAAGTTTTCTTTCTCCTTGTCGATCTTGTAGCTCTAACGTTCTCACTGTCATTTTCATCTGTAGTTTCAGTCACCTCCAAATTCGTCTTTTTGGTTCTTGTAGCTCTTGTTGCTACTGCTTTTTTTGATGGTTTACCACTTAGCTTTTCAGGCACATCCTCTTCTCCTTTCGAACGATTTCTTTTACTTGGATTTTTTTCAGAAGGCTGTATCTCAGGAGCAGCAGCAACAACACTTTCATGAAATTTTACAGTTTTTGTTTCACCTTTCCTGGAGCGGGTTTGCTTTGTTTGAGGAGATGCTAGAGCCGACTTCACCTCAATATCGTTAACCTGCTGGAGTGGTTCCTCCGTGGTGGCAGAATATTTAGTTTGATTGCTTCTCCCACGCCGTACCTTAGGTTGTACTGGACTGGCATCTTTTACAGGTGTGGAAATGCCACTAGGTTTTGTTCTCCCACGAGTTTTCAACGGCGATTTCTTATTCCCAGAGCTACTTTCCACTTCCACAATTCTTGGAGATGAGAGTTCAGAAGTATTTTCACTCTCTTCTGAAATATGAACTACGACAGATTTCAGATTCCTTCCACGCGTTGCTTTTGGGGATTTTCTGGCTTGCGACTTATTTTCCCCTTCCGACAGAGTATCAACGGGGGGTAAAATTGATTTTGTCCTACCACGCTTTTTGGAAGGTGATTTTTTAGATAATGAAGAACCTTGTATATCTGCAGACTTCGAAGTAGCAGGAGAACCTGCAGATGAAGACTCTGATATGTTTCTGTCTCTGAGAGCAGTTCTCCCAGATGCAACAGATTTGTTTTTTCCAGGTCTTGTTCTTGGAGGGGTTTTACTAACAAGATTTTTCTCTGCAGCTGAAGTTCCATCAGAGGTGTGTTGAGAATGAGGTACGCTTTCTTCACTACCAGTATTTTTCCTGGTGCGTCTAGTTTTTGGTGGAGTTACATCAATGTCACCTGATTGACTGTCTCCTGCAACAACTTCTGCACTTCGCTTTTTAGCTCTTGTGTTTCTTGACCTACCTTTCTGGTTAGGAGTCAGGTTTTCTTCGATCTTGTCATGTACCTCAGCAATCACTTTGTTTGACACAGAATTATTAGAGGCATCCGCATTCTTTGTTGATTCATTATTACTTTTGGCGACCTTTCGCAATTTTTTAGGAGATGGAACATTATCAGCTGGCAAGGTCGGAGGGGTCTCCTGAATTTTGTTCTTGACCTTAGGCGAAGTTGCTGGAGATTGTACATCAATTTTTCGACGACTTCGAGTTGTACGCTCAACTACTTCAGAAACAGCAGTTTTCTTTCGAGAACTCTTGGCACTTGAAACCCCTTTAGTTCTGAGGGGTGTTGCTTTAATGTTTCTACTTTCATCAATACTCACATCAAAAAGGTTTTTGAGCCCTGACACATCTGTTAAGTCATTCCTTGGTGACTTCTGTTCTTTAGGACTCTTAAAGATTTGCTTGACACCCTGAACATTGGTCAAATCATTTTTGGGAGATCTTAATTTTTTAGGAGAACTTAAGAGTTTCCTCACACCTCTAACATCAGTTAAATCATTCTTAGGTGATTTCTGAGTTCTTGGTGTTCCCAACAACTTTTTGACTCCTCGAACATTTGTTAAATCATTTCTTGGAGATGCCTGAACTTTTGGAGTACTAATTAATTTCTTTACTCCTCTGACATCAGTCAAATCATTCTTGGGCGATTTCTGAACTTTGGGAGAAGCCAACAACTTCTTAACACCTCTTACATCTCTCAAATCATTCTTGGGCGATTTCTGAACTTTAGGGGAAGCCAACAATTTCTTGACACCTCTAACATCTCTCAAATCATTTTTAGGGGATTTCTGAATTTTTGGGGTAGCCAATAATTTCTTGATACCTTTAACATCATTTAAATCATTTTGGGGAGATTTTTGAGGTTTAGGGGTTCTTAAAAGTTTCTTCACCCCCTGAATATCAGATAAGTCATTTTTCGGAGATTTTTGCACTTTGGCAGTTCTTGATTGTTTCTTTGTACTCAATTCTGTTGTCTCAAATCCTTGGACATTATCTTTTAAAGTTGATACAATGGGTGATGCAGAATGCCGGGCATGGATTGATTTGATTTTCAATGATCGCTGAGTATTGGGAGTTGTAATAATGGATTTTCTGCCCAAAATCTCTTTAGGAGTACTGTGCCGTCCTGGAGTTCTCACAATATGTCTAATATCTTTAGCCCTAAGAATCTTAGTGGTTTTATCTGGTGACTTTTCTAGATCTGAATAGGAAGATTTCTCATGTGATGATGAACTGTTTAGAGCAACTCCAGGGGCAGATATTTCCTTAATGCCCGATAAATCACTTAATTCTTTATTTGGAGTAAATTTACTGACATTTAAAAGAGTTTTTGCTGATTTTCTTGGGGTTGTTTTCACAGATTTTCTTCCTCCAGACTTCTGCACAACTCGCTCACTTGACAATAATTTAAAATTCAAGTCTGTTGATTTGCTTGTGTTTGGTGTTGAACGAGAAGACAATGGAGAAACAAAAGTTTCTTGAGGAACTTGAGGTGTTTTTATTGCACCGAAATCAAATGAGGAATCTGTAATTGAAAATATATCTGGAGAGTCAATTGCACTTGCTCGTGTTTTCTTCTTTTTATGGCTCAACTGCATTTTCTCGTCTTCACTAGTTGCAGATCTCTTTCTTGATGAACGTCCAGTACTGCTCAAAGGCTGTAATGGAGACAGTATAGAGGCAAGTCTCACAGGTGTTCTCTTTTCTGTAGATGTATTATATATCTGAGAAGAACGCTTCACAGGAGAGACGCTTTCCTCCCTAACGGATGTTTTCTTCCCCGAAGACATCCTATTTTGGCCCACAACAATGAGATTTTCACTGGGGCTTTGGACTTTTCTGCTGGGAGTTTTCTTTGCAGCTGATGTCTGTTTTTCTTTCGGAGGTGTCTTTTTTGTTGATGATTTGATTTCATTCAGTGGAGAAAGCTTCAATGAGGATATATTTGTCTTGGTAGGTGTAGGCTTTTCAAATGAATCTCTTGGAGTTGTTTTCCCAACATACAACTCGTTTTCACTGACAGGTGTGCCCTTACTTCTCGATGATCTGCCTTCTCTCATTGCAGCAAGTTTACCAGCGGAAACTCTAATGTCTTTAACCAAAACCATTCTAGGAAAGGTGTCTTTGGGAGTAACAGCTTTTGGTTGGGGTGTTTGTTTCCTATTTGGAGTAGAAGATTTTCGACCGATCTTTGGCGATTTCCTTTCAGGAGATGGAATGTTCTTGGGGGAAGCAGCTTTTTCGTGGGGTGTTGGTTTGCCCTTGGGAGAAGCAGCTTTTTGTTGGGGCGTTGCTTTGCCCTTGGGAGAAGCAGCTTTTTTGTTGGGGCATTGCTTTGCCGTTGGGAGTAAGCAGCTTTCTTGTTGGGGCTATGGTTTGCCCTTGGGAGAAGCAGCTTTTTGTTGGGGCGTTGCATTGCCCTTTAGGAAACAGCTTTTTGTTGGGCGTTGCTTTGCCTTGGGAGAAGCAGCTTTTTGTTGGGCCGTTGCCTTTGCTTCGAGGAGTCCAAAACCACCGCAGCTTTTTTGGTCTGGGACGCGTTGGCTTTTGCCCTTAGGAGAAGCGCAGCTTTTGTTGGGGCGTTGCTTTGCCTTAGGGAGAAGCAGCTTTTGCTGGGCGTTGATTTGTCCTTAGGACGTACAGCTTTACGTTGAGGGTGTGATTTGTCCTTAGGAGTAACACGCATTACGTTGAGGTGTTGATTTGTCCTTAGGAGTAACAGCTCTACGCTGAGGTGTTTGATTTGTCCTTAGGGTACCACCACTGCTTTACGTTTGAGGTGTTTTGATATTTGTCCTTAGGAGTAACAGCTTACGTGGAGTGTTTGATTTGTCTTGGCGTAGCTTTTACGTTGAGGTGTTATGATTTGTCCTTAGGGGTAGCAGCTTTTTGTTTGGGGGTTTCGTTTGTCCTTAGGGGTAAGCAGCTCTTCGTTGAGTGTTGGTTTGTCCTTAGGAGTAGCAGCTTTTTGTTGGGGTGTTGATTTCTCTTTAGGAGTAGCAGCTTTTCTTAGGGGTGTCGGTTTTAACTTAGGGGTAGCTGCTTTTCTTAGAGGTGTTGGTTTTAACTTAGGGGTAACAGTTTTTTGTAATGGAGTTGGTTGGCCCTTGGGGGTAGCAGTTCTTCCATTTTGAACAACTCCATCAGACCCTATGAATTTCTTCAAGGTTTGCTTGCTGGCAGAGGATCTTTTCTTTAAAGGTGTATGTTTAACAGAGGATACAAGAACACTTACAGAGGGCCTTTTTGACCCTTTTGAAGTTCTTTCTGGACTAGGTGTTCCTTGTAGAGTATTCTCTTTCAAGAACTGTGTTCTGGGAGGAGTGTTTTCTCCAGATGTTCTACTCACCCTTTTAGGAGTTTTGTTTTTAGATGGGATGGTCTTAACTGGAGTCTGCTTTTCTTCAAGTGTATTATGTAGAGATTTTCTATTTCCCTTCGAAGAAAAGGATTTTCTTTTCAAAGTACTTCGAGGAGTACCAATTTTTTTTCGAATTACAATAGTCTCTGGTGATTCTGCATGACCAGTTGAATTCATTTTTAATCTTGCAGGAACAGACTGAAATAGAAGAAAACAGCACAATGTTAGTGGCTTTCTAAAGTCAATGATTTATAAAACCTTAAAACACAATTTGTAACAATGTATTATTTTTAAATAATGTGTTTGAAGTTAAATATGATAAGCAAAATGTATAAGATTCAAACAGAATATTTTATATGCACCAAAAAAACTGCCCGTCAAAAAGAGATTTTGCAACAAATTGCTGATTCTAGGTTACTTGAGGAGACAGAATGTTTGAAGCAAAAAAGATGAGACAAAAGTATGACAAGAAACACATGAACACTTTTTCCTCCAGTATTATGTATACTGAAATAAATAAATGCTATTCATTTTTTAAGATTGACTGACAAAATGGTAACAAATTTCAATCTGATTTTGGTAGTTAGCTTTTTAATTTACAGGACAAATACACAAGTGAAAGAGGAAACATGAACAGTAAAGGTGGAGTGAAAGTGCAGTCAAACATTTCATTTTATTAGGGGTTTTGTAGAGTATTGATTTCTCTTTCTACCCAACATTTTTCACAAGATCCTTTAGTACAAATCATGTTGCCAATGGTCAGCTTATTCACCTCATCAACCACACTTGAAATAAATATTTCACAAGGGCACACAAAAGCAGTTTCAGTTGGATTGATGTCAAACCACAGGCACATATAGGAAAAACAACTTAGTCCTCCATGAACTCTGCGCTCTCAGACAATTATAGCAAAACTGTGATGTTGGAAATTTGTGTAAAGACAGCCTCTTTCACAATGCTCAGCATTGAAAATAAATACAGTGAGTATTTATTTTTTATTAATATTATGTTTACGTTGAACAGTTCCAAAATGACTAGTGACTGTAAATCCACACAATCCATGCTGCCTAGGAATGTAAAAGTAGTAACTTTGGCCTGTTAGGTTTCATAATCGATTACACAAACTTTAACATTTTTTTATAATCATAATAAAAGATATTTCCAATAGACAACGTTGCCTTAAAAGAAATTAGAGTCAAAATACCTGACAGTATAGTAATAAAACCTGAGCAATTAATAAGTTGTGCAACCATTAATCCCATCCATTAATGTGGGAGGAGTCGCTTTGGAGAATTTGGACTCCAGGTGTTGCATTTTCATGTGCAGTTTGGCTTGAGATTATTGTATTATCTTGTGATCGTTACCGTTCCCCTAATCATCTATCTGTAAAATCTTGAACTAATGCAACCTTTCCATGAATATTTCATCAGGCAATGAATAATCAGCCAAATAATAAATTTACAACATGGCAAAATTGTGCCAATAAGCAGTGTAAGAAATCAATTGGGTCAACAAGCAGTGTAAAAGCACCTTGGCCACTGTGACTGGCCAGCAACAAAAAGCTGGATATGTAGAGTAAAATATCAGTATAATGAAAATGTGGAAACCCCAGTAATCATTTTGTTACAAGTGAAATTTCACTACATTGAAAAGTCAGTCCTTTAGAACACCTACAACTGTGTATTTACTTCAGTGTGAATCTACAAATTTAGAAGCTTTATGTTTATTACATATGAGAGACATAATTATAATAATAATACAGTTAGCAGATCTACTTCTTTTATATTTTTTCACCAAGTTTTAATTTAAACTGGATATTATTTTTTCTTTCATTTCAAATCATTTCTCTCTCTCACAGGTCTGCAATTTTAATGGATACGATTGGAAACAATACAGTCGAGATATGAAAACATATTGCTCATTGGTTGTTTGCACACTTAGCACGCCTACTCAACCAACAGCATGACTTCTTTGGAAGACCTGCACAGCTCCATCAATTGTTTCAATGACTGGAAAATTGATACTGTAATAGGATCATTTGCATAACTGTATATACTATAATAATAAAAAATATTTACTGAAAAACAGGGGGAATTTAAATTAGTATGTTTTGAAAGAATGATTCAAGCTTAGGCAAAATTTCAAATTATAATACTGAATGTTTGAATTATTGTACATATAACCTAGTGGTAAATTGGTGAGGGACCTAAAAATTATGTTTTAAATTCTTTCATAGCAGCATTTGTTATAACATTCCACTAAAAAACTGTCCATCATTATTTTGAAAGTTAAGATCTTCATAACAGAAACCCCAGGTCCTGTAATGCAAGTAACATCTCATAAGCCCTCTGCTTGAGCGAAAATTGTAATATGACTACAAATTTACGCACAATCTATAAGGCTTATACACATGCAATTAAAATGCACAGAATACTAATTTAACATTACATTGAGATCTGCGACCTTCAGCAAGCAATAGAAATTCCAGAAAGATCTCATTTTGTACCCTACAGTATTAAGTAGCCTACAGTATAAGAGAACTCAGGCCCCTAGAATACCTCAAAATAAGATTTTATGGGGCATTGAACCACCAAATCTAAGCAATGTACAATGGATGAGTGAGAAAAAAAGGACTTTATGTGCTCCATGTTCCCATGCTGACTTGAAACATTTTAATCTTTTCCCTCTTACACAACGTTTGGATACAAAGAATGCCTGGCAACACCAGGTATTTTACTGGCATCAGAAGGTCACTGAACTCCAACAACCACCACCAATGACCGTGGTAACAAGAAGTACTTAGTGTATTTTATTTTATCAAAGGTGTATAAGGAGACATGAACTTACCGAGGGTGGCTGCAATTTTGTACGCACTACCTTCATTTGCACAGGCTTCCCAGCATTTTGAACAAGAATGGTTCTTTTACGAATGATATTTGCATTCTTCTTAACCATTTCTGAAAACAATGGTCTCTTCACAGCTTTTGTGGCAGAAGACTTTCCACGGGTAGATTGAGACTGCTGACGTTCATTGCCTATACATAAAAAAACAATATGAAATGCCATGTTCACCATATCACAAGTATACAAAGCATCCTACATTTTTTAAACACAAAACGTGTAACATTGAGAACAAATTAGACTAGCAATTCATAAAATTTGTTTCAGTAGACGGTAACTTATGAATGAAATAATTGTGGAAACTTTTCAGAGCACTTCATAATAACCCAACATGGCAAATCTAAGGTAATCTTAATTCAAATATTACGACTAACTCAAAAAATTGTTTTAAATTATTCCATGATATCTTGACAGTACAGATACACAATGTCACAGAAGAGCTGTTCACATGAAATTCATTAATACCCTACCATTGTGTTTTCAACATGCCAGGCATTGAGTTTAGCTATATAGCAAATGCTTTACTGGTTACAAGGGTTTAACAGAGGAAGAAATTAAGGAAGTTTCAGATGATTCAGTCACAATACAATTGACAACTAATACATTTCTTTCTCCTTCTGACTTCAAAGGACAACTCCAGATATGGAGATACAGATTTAAGGAAAAACATTGAAATTTATCAGGAAGGCTTGCTGAAGAGCTTTTGAAAGATGGAAGGGGAAGGTATTTTAATTACAGATGTAAATGATGGGTATTCAAAATGACCAAGCAACAAGATACTAAGAAATCTGAAAAGGTGGATCTTGGAAAAAGGCCTAAGTTCCACTATTCTAACTATAATGATGAACAATTAATACCCTCAGAAATATTTCAGTTTTTTTGACAGATGAACTTCTGGAATACATAAAGAAAATTAGTATTATTTACTCAGTACAGAAAAGACTAATCATTTTTCACAGGATGGATGAATTCAAAGTTCTTTTATGGTATATTGCTTGTACATTAGTGGTTATTTTACCAATATATCCACTTAAATAATTAAGTACGCAAAAGAACAGGGGGAAAAGGCTACAATTTAGAAATAAAATAATATTTATTCAATGAAAAGAATCCATTTTCATGAGGTAATGCATTTTCTTCATCTGAACCACATCAACCTTGTAAAAAATAAGAAGACTTCAATGCTTAAGAACTTCCATAAACTCAATGAAAAATAGCTACTAGGAGCGGGTCTACTTGTGATGAAGCCCAATGATTCTCTAATTTGGAGTAAGGTGAAGGATTTATTGCTATCTGATATAACACCCAAACCTAAACCTTGACCTGCCACCAAACAGCAAAAGAATCCAATTTGCATCCATCCATCTGCAAGTCAACAACAATAAACAGTTGCAGTGAAAGTAAAGTTGCTTTGCACTACAAGTGCTGTAACCATTCCAGGGAGAGACAATAAACACCAAATTTCTGAGTCCATTTTTACTTCAACCTTTTGGGTCGCACGATCAATCTCTCAGATGACTGAATTGCAAAGATAAAGCGACATAAGACATTTTTGAGAATGCAGTTGTCATTGGAAATCCTCTATAATTGTTTTTAGATCTCATAGCTTCCAGTTCGTGCCGATAAACTATTGTCACAAGAATCAAATCAAACAGCGTGCAATGCAGCACACTACAGGCCGGAACATGTAGTACAAATTACAACTGATACATTTTAATCTAAATCTTGTTATTATAGATGAACATTACAGTTCAATAAAACTTTAAAGTTTCAATGCTAGTAAATGTGTTAAGTGCATTTGTGAAGCAATGTAAGCTAAAATTCAAATGATGCATCTGAGAGATCAACGTGTGTGCTCTTATTACTTTTACTAGTGCATGTGCTGTAGGGTTATCATGCATTCAATTTAACTTACAGTGTACTAAATTTTAAGCACAGTATTTTGCATATAAATAATACTTCTCAAAAATGAAGTTTAAAAGTGTACTTTCCTAACATCCAAGTTACATAAATATATTGATATAACCGAGAATATTCTTCAGTTGGCAAAACGGCACAAATAATGAGTAAAATGGCTCAAGCACGAATTGGCCAATGGTAGAGAAGTGAGTGATCATAAAATAAATGTTATTATTGACCACTCCTCGCTCACAGCATCAATGAGTATCAAAAAAACACTTATATGATTGAACAGACAATATTGCAGAATTACTAGACAATGCAGTAAAAACATCACCAGGAATAACACATTTTGATCCAAAAACGTTTTATTTCAAATTATCTGGAGTCCCTTGTATAGCAAAACCTGTTAATGATAGAACATCTATAAGATAGAAACCTGCCATGCAAGGAAGAATATCTGAAAACAGAATGAAATTTTTTGTATGCCGACTTTGAAGTTCCAGCAACGTGCCACTCCTATGCCAATCATAAAATAATTGCCCTATCTTGTTAAATACATCAACCTTGCTACTTGGTAAATGTTCCTTTTGAATTCAATATCTCAAGTGACATCTATTAGTATTATTCCACATTAAATCATATTATGCATACAGCCTAGGTTTACACAATACAATGGTTTTATGATTCTGATTCATTATTACATCAGTGAATAATAATAATAATAATAATAATAATAATAATAATAATAATAGGGGAAAAGGGTAATAACTAAACTTAATATCCATCGAGTACAAAATGCTGCCTTGTCACATCTTGTAACAAAGACTGAACAAATCATTTTTCTCATTTTGACCTCGATCCCATGATACCCTGCAAATTGATTTCCCTTTACTTCTCTTGCATTGCAAGCTTTTCACATGAAAATGATCTACTTCTGTTATTTTGTTTTATTAAGAAAATTACAATGAAAAATGAAAGTATTTAAGAAATTGAATATTTGACAACTGTCTACCAGATGGACTATTCTCGAAGGAACTGTAATAGAAATAATAAAAATTAAACACTTACTTTCCACATTAGGGGTCAGTTTCATTCTTTTTGCATTCTGTTGTATAGACCCAGGAGTTTCTAGAACTCTCTTCTTAGGAGTTTTTAAACGTGATTTGAAAACCGTCTTTTTATCTGCACCTTCAGAATCAACTTTTGGAGTCCTTTGTAAGAGCGTTTTATCAGCTGCTTCGCTGTTGGAATTGCTAACATTCTTTATGGACTTCCTTCCCTTCTTAGTACTTTTTTCCCCTGAACTTTGAGATTCAGGACCGACTTCCACTGATTCCACCACCAACTGCCCTTTAATGGACTTCCTAGATGGAGTGCGAGGTACTTCAGGTAACTGAACAAATGATTTCTTCCCAATGCTTTTCTTCCCTTTTGCAGAGGAATTTCGTAAAACAGATTTCCGAGAAGACTTTTTGATTTCTTTGCTAGGCACAACATCCATCTCTTGCACAATTTCAAACACTCTCGATTTCCTCGCAGTTGAATGCGATTGAGGAGTTACAGCCGGAGAGCCAGACTGAAGTTTATTCACCACTGTAGTAGCAACCAAATTAGGAGCACAAGATCTCCTCGATGCAGATTTCTTCTTGAAGATCTTCTCTGAACCCTAAAAACAAAATTCCCAATCAATAAAATTTATTAAACATACCTACATCTCTCTACACAACTACATAAGATTAACAAAAATATGTAGTTGTGTACCTAAACTGTTTTACTTGTGTATTTTCATAATAAGTCTGCTTTTTCTTTTCTACTCTAAATTTGAATATGTGAACATTTTTTTCTATTTAGCATTTTGTGTAATTTTTACGTAAAAGAGTTGGTTCATTATTACTTCTCATTTATGTAGTACTTGTAGTAAAGAGAAATTTGTCATATTGCAAAAAAAGCAAATCAAGAATAACAGAAAAACAGACTTTGGGATCCCCCCCTGATACAGGACATTTTTCTCAAAATGTCCATCCGTCTATGAACAACACTAGTTCCAGAAATTGCAAAATTTCTTAATTTTTGGACCCCCTTGTAAAACTACATAACACTGATAGACAAGGTTTTCTTCACAAAGTATCTGATCAACGAACATAATTAATTTTTTTATATTCTATTCAGATATGTATATAGAATTTTTCCATGAGGCACAGTTATTTTGGCACAGCTACTTTTTAAATTTCTGATTTTTAACACTCTCTTTGATCTGCCATAGAAACCTACACCTTATATGTAGCTATTTTATTCTAACCGTATTTAAGGAAATTTTACATATCATGCTTAAACACTAACAGGCAATGCTCTTCAGATTCAATCATGTTTATGAGCTTATTAGCACAAATATCACTAGTGATATATTCCTGTGTGTTTAGAAGTGTACTGGGTAAGCTGTGTTTTAGTGTCTTGTATATTCATCATGGCAAGAATGTGTGTCAATCATGCAGGTAATTAGTGCTGTATTTGCGGACTCCAAAATTTTCTGTCAAGAATTTGCATACACAACCAGATTTTAAAATTATCTTTCAATACTAGTATTAAAGGACCAACAAATTGACAAAATGTCTTTTAGAAGTCAATAGGCTAGGTGGGGCCAACCAAAATGCTAGCAGAGATTAAAGAGATGTGGAAATTAGGAAGAGAAGTCACATTTCGAATTATTTGTTACAATATACCAAAAGAACAATCACAGAAATAACATAACAACTTTCTTGGATTTGCAATCAATCAAGCTGGATTGACAATGTTATTTAACTTCTGTCTTTCATAACTGTTATACTCTCAAGAAAATCAAGAGACTGCAATAATTTAATCAACTGATAAACTTGGCCAAGAAATATAAGCATCATGTTTAATTAACTGTTTTCTTTTAAACCTCATTCTAAGCTAGTAAATAGCATTAACAAGACTATGGGGCATTTTAAGGTTGAAAATGAAAATCAGCTGTGAAAGATTTGTGAAATTTGTTTATATCACTCGTGTGATCTGGAGTGAATACATGGGCTACTGTAAAACAGTATCATGCTAAAATCTCATAAGCAACAAAATTAAGTTGTGAGGTGTGGGTGTTAAAACTACATTCCAGAATACACATTATTCTAGCTACAAAAATGACATGGCAACATAAATATTCATTTATTTGTTAAATATGTTATTTCACATGGACTTCAAAGTCCCAATTGCCTTTTTGCCAAAACACAATGGGCATTCATGGTTTTGGCACACAGATGACATTAAATTAACAATGATTTTAAAAATACCATGCAAATTCTGGAGGGAATGCTGTTTTAGTCCTGGCCAAAGTATTAGACCAAAACTGTTTCGTGTTTTTCTAAAAATGTCTTACAAATATTTTGTACCAGTCTAATGCATTTAGTACATGCACCAGACTGTAACTATAACTTCTAACAAGCTAGGCAAGGAAGATCATGTTGAAAGTTGTCTTTACTACCAAAACAGATTGTTGCTTGTCTACATATCAGCTATTCATTCAAACTTGAACTCTTTCAGAGTAATCACTGGTTTTAGTATTGTAAGTTAAATAGATCTTAAGATTAGTGTAAAATATTATTTAAAAAAATTATAATTATCATTTTGGGTCGAGTAACAGGTTATTTTATAATAACTCATCAAAACTTGGCACAAAGATGAAGAAATGAAGAATGGGTTTAAAGAAAAATTGTGAAAAGTATAAAAGGTTTAAAATGCTCATTGAGCACAAGGGAACACATTCTAAGTAAAACAAAATTCATATGTTGTCTATTTGTGTATTTATAAATTTAAAAAAATCAACAAAACAAATTGCAAATGAAACACTTTTAATCTAATAATTTGGACAGGACTGCAGATCAGATCCCCAACGGAGTCAATATCGAACAAGGGGTCTATCACTGGATTACAATCACACTATCACTGCAATTACAATCAAGATCCCATTGATTTAAAAGAACATTAAATGAGCTTGATAACTAATTATTTTCAGATAATAATAATAAATAAATAATAATAAAAAAATAAAAAAGAATGAAACTGCTCCCAAAAGTCAAGGGCACTTAATAACAACCTCTGTGGATAAATGTTAGCAAAGAATAATACAAATCACACTCCATACATATTTCCTCCACTGCACGACCTACATTCATGTACTAATTATATTTAAAACCCTTAACTTCACATTTATTGCACATGGTGGCATCATTTCAATTTTTTGCACTGAGGCACCCGAGAGTCTAGCTATGCTACTACTTAAATCAACAAAATATAACAAAGTACACAACAATACTCTACTGCAGAAGAAAATGCCCCTCTGTATTATATGCTTGCTTTCTGTGCTGGAATTTTACAAAAATAAGTGCTACAAATGTGCAATGAAAGGTGACAACTCAGTATAGGGAAGAAGCACTAACCAAGATGTGAATTTATGCCTGGCATGGCGAATTAGTGAGTACTGGTTGCTTGCATCCTAAAAAAAGTGGCCTTCCTAGATTGAGAGAAAAGTAAATTCCTATTCCAGAAGGAAGAGGCCCCGCCTCATTATCAAAATATGTTCATAAATGTCTGAAAAAAGTGTTACTTCAACGGTGAATCAGAGAGGCAGGGAATAGATATAACAGTTTCGAAATATGGGTTCCTAGATGTCACACTTTGTGACCTCATTATAAAAGAATATCTCAAAGATTGTGGGTATGGGCCACCCCTACCATCTAATCAACAGAAACTCAAGCTTAGGATTGAGAAGCTGCCACTACCATAGCTGAGAATATGCTCTAAAGAGGAGGCAAGCGTTGTCTTTGCTATACATAGGTCTGAACGTTCATTACACATCTGTAGCATTCTTATTTTTGTAAAATTCTAGCACACAGGAAGAAAGCACTTCACCAAAAGTTGCCATTTTTACAAAATGCCAACTATGGAAAATCCAGGAACTGCAAAGATTTGCTGTAACATTCCCAAACAAAGTTTTTGAGGTCCTCCTTTATATGAAACCTGTATCACACTATACTTGAGAAATGTTATAAAATAAGGAAGTCAATACATCAGTTCATTCTTTCAAGAAAGGGTCAATGTAAGATAAAGGTTAGGAATCCTTGTTTTAGTGTTTTGTAGATTCATTTTGATTCCACTGACCTATAGCACGTGATATTTCTTAAAAATCAATAAGAAAATGCGCAAAGACAGGCTTAGAAAAGCACACCTGAGCCTTTATGCCAGCCATCAATATAAGGTTTATTATTATTATAATTATTATTATTTGGGGGAGGAGGATAAGGTTGAGTACGCAACATAATAAGTTGGCATTTATGAAAACTTTGCATATCATCCACTTTAAAACTACATTAACCCATTTCCTATTGTGATCCCCATTTGGGGATCTAACAATTTTATATTCAGTACTTGCTAGAAGATCATTAATTATAATGATAGTTACTTGTGTTCCATTGTTGGATGAGCGGGTGAGATAAGCAGAAACAGAAAATTCAGATTACTTGTTTTCTCGGAGTACTTGAAAGATGTTGTGTTCATTGGTGCAGCAGGAGTGTGAAGAAATATTTAAGGAAATTGAAATATTTATTTCCAGAGTTGTTTGTTTGATGCACTTGTATGTAATAGTGCATCATTTTTATATATTTGAAATTATTACTGAATGATGAGCATGTAACTTTGTCTGTTGCTAACGGAAAAAAATATTGTATTTTATCGATACCTATTTGCATATTGTGGCTGATGTAACGTATATTTTTTCATTAGGCACTCTAATATTTCGTGTTTTTCTTTCTTAGTGATGGGTATCAGGCGATATTATTTGCTTTCTCAATTCAAGGAGGTTGTTAACGATCTTCATTTCTCCGGACACAGTGACATCATAGAACTTCCACCTGACAACATAGGTGTGATGAGCGTTACTGATGAAGATGTGAATGAAAGTATTTTAAATGGCAGACCAATGGATGTGTCCGGTCAGATGGAAATTCATTCTAGCGCTATAGCACTGAATAATACAGAGGTTTATGGAGCAACAAGGGCAATGAGGAAAACCTCTGAAGTCCTGCCTGCAAAAAGTCTAACACTATGCCAGATTGGCAGGAAGTGAGACCAGATTTTTTGAACATATTTGAATCGCACAAAGACATTCTGTTAATAAAAGAAAAAATTATTCTAACTCTTAGAGGAATATCTCCTGTAGAAATTTTGGAGAACATTTTCAACGGCGATATCATAGAATATATTGTGAAACAAAATGTAATACGTGCTATTCAAAATAACAGGCATAATTTCATAATGTCTCTGAAATTTTTTTTTTGTTTCTTGATATTGGCTGGTTACCATTCTTTGCCCCAGGAATGTAAGTAATGACGAGAGGATGATGATATTTGTGTTCCAAGTGTCAGAAAATACTTCACAAGAAACAGAGAATGAATTATTTCAATGACAATAGTGAATTAGCAAATCAATCCCAAAGAGACAAATCAATCAAAATACGTCTCCAACTGAACGAAGAGTTTATGATGTTAGAAGTGTTTTCAGAAAATCTTAACATTGATGAGCAAATACGGTGTTATTACAGACATTATTATTTAAAGCAATTCATAAAAGGAATGCAGGTAGACCATGTCTACAGAATTTTACAAGGAAGCATGTTCTTGATACCACGAGAAATGATTCATAAGGACTACTTAGAAAGAACTCAAAATGAGAAGCAAAAGAATTCGCAGTTTGTAAAATGGAAACAGGTGTTGCAAGTTCAATGTAGGACTCCATGAAGAATGTACGGCTGAATGGCACAAATAGTCTTTATTATAATACATTATTGCTCATTAATCAAAACAATGATGTTCTGAATTATGTTCTTTTTTTGTTCATGGTACCCACCACGATCCCAAATTGGGGATCAACGAAACAAGTCAAAATCTTAGGAAATAGATAAGCTCATGAAATAAATTAGACAAAGATACAAGTTATTTTTGTGTAAATGTGAAAATTACAATATTAAGGGGAAATAACAGAAGTAAAAATCTGGAAGGCAGTGGGTTAAAAAAAAAATACCTGTTCTACAGCTCATTGTTCAAAAGAAAATTACACTTTAATATGATATAAGACAGAAAAAAAAAAGTAAAGCCACAACTCACATCTTCTGATTTCTGCTCACCACAATGAAATACTAGCAACGTAACCTACAAACTGGCAAAAGAACTTGTGCATTTTCTCTTGTAACATTACCGAAGTCTCACAAAGCCCTAACTTAAAACTGGGAACATCTTGTCCAGTCCTTATTAGTGTAAAGGATCTGCAAGACACAGAAACAAATTATGAGAAGATCTTGCAAGTGTAAAGATGTCAACTTGGCTTTTAACGTACTTGTAACGTAACGTACTTTAACATTGCCATTTAAGGATGTATGGTATAATTTATAAATTCTTAGATGCAAACAAGCCTTTGCACGTCAACCTTAAAACATTACAACATTTTCAGATAAACTAGCTAGAGTACCAGTTCAATTTCTGCACACTAACAAAACTCTTCCTCCCTAGCTACATAATTAATGACAAAAAGCTGGAGTGAGGAACTGGAAAGCTTCTTTTCATAAGATTATTTGGCTGAAGTCTACCATATGGCACATAGTGCCGCTACGCCATTTACTAGGCAGTTAGAATTTTGGAGGCTTTTTTGAAAAGTGATGTCTTATTAAAGTGAATTAGTAGTTATGCGTGGATAGACTCAAGAATGTTTATAGTGAATGTGAGGGCCGAAGGCCCGAGCCTTGCCACAACTGGGATCTGGGCGAGCAAAGCAAGAAAACTTGCCTTTGAAAGTAAATTGGCATTACAATGCGACGGGAACAAAGCATATTAAGGGTGAACCATAAAAATCACCTGTTCATAATTTTTTATTCATTTCTATCAGAGGACGTACAGTAATTAGAATTTAAGGAGACCCTGCCACCACACTTCTCTTAGGGTGTACCTTGTACCGTACTTTAACCAATTATTTTATTGATTCTCTTCTGCAATAGAATCAATAATAGCTCTCCCATATCTTCCTTCTGCTACCTATTGTCTACCATGAACTACATTACAACCCATGTATCACAACAGTGCATGTAGATATTGGAATACTTTTGGAAAATACCTGGATGCTATGCCTGTAGAATTTCTTAATTGGAATAGAAGATTTCTTGAGCTTCTCAATTTTATTTTCAATCTGAAACAAATATTAACATGAGATTTAATTTCTGAAATATTTGCCTTTTTTTTACACAACCATCTCGACATTAAGAAACATTCATATTAAATCACTCTTCCATCTATTCTATTTCATTAAAATTGAAATTAACAATAACATCTTATTTTGATCAAAAAAAGGCATATTCATCTGACATTAGGGAAAAAACTAGAAACAAGGAAAAAGAACAATCTTCAGATACAAGTAATCACAGGTTGAAGATATTTAAAATGCTTTCTGACTGCAGAATTAACAAATTATAAGTTGATGTTGAATTTCTGAAATTATTATGTTATCCACAGAACAAAACTACAAAATATTTAACTTCGAACTAAATTTTAATTTCAATATTTAACTTCAACATGTATTTAAGTCAATACAAAACTACATACTGGGGTACTGTCCTCTCTTCTCACTGGTGTAACAACGGCAATACGATTAGTAGAAGGAGTGTGATGCAGCGATGCAAATGGTACAGACACTGTCTTCTTTGGTGCAGAGCTTTCTGACGATGCCAATTCAAAACTTTGTGATCCCTGAACACAAAACGGCGAAGAGGCCAGATATTCCCACCTAAATGTTCTATCAGACACTGTAAACAAGTCACCATGTCCTAGCTTTTCCTTTTGGCCCAATCTTAAGGTTGCACCATTCAATAATGTTGGACACTGTCCTGTTAGATTTTCTATGATACCCTGCACAGAAAAACAACAACATAATTTAGATAATACTCAAAAAATGAATGAATGACGAACATTACACACAGTTTACTTACTCGGCCAGCGTTATCAACAAATATCTTGCAATGTTCACTGGCTACACCCTTTAAATTAATCCTCATGTCACAATTCAAAGCGGTTCCAATAATGCACTTGCCCATAACCGGACAACGTGATCCATTTTCTCCAGTACGCTTCAAAACGCGGATATATCCCTTACACTCCATCGTAGTCCTATCTATAAACAATGAAGTGAACAACACAAAACACAAGGAATACAAGTAAAAGGCAAAACAACACTGTTTAATACAGCTTGGGGATAATTATCATTCGTGGAACATCCGTTTATACATTCTCTGTAATATTGCACAGTCTTACCTAAAATCCCTAACAATAAACGCGAAAATCGTGTAAACCGCCAACTATGAAACCCACGCTCCCAATTTGAACCACTCGCTGTTTGAATTTGATTGTTCATCCGCATAAAAAAGTGCTCAATAAAATTAATTATTGTTTACTTACGCGACTAATATTTAAATATCAATCTTTCTTCCAGAATAATTATATTTATAATTATTTGATTTAATGCATAAAACTTTAGTTTAAGAGCCTCTTCTTAATATTATAGCTCTTACTATTTCGCGGGAGCGCGTATTAATACAAGACTTTATCCTTGTTTTGAAAATGCGAACAGTCATTGGTCAAAGGTGATTGTAGTGGAAGCTGCGATGACAGGCTGTCCAACATATCAATACTAGAACAAGTAGAACGCATGTACAATTGATGGTTTGTAAATATAATGAGTTTCTTTTAAATCTTCTTGGGTTTCCTGTTATAATTTCTCAAATGCTCTTATTTAAAAGATTCGTCATTTCCCAATAACCAATTTATATATTTATACAATTTTTCTTGAAGGGGTTGGATGTTATTACTTGTCCCTCACGCTTGTTCGAGGTATTGGAGCCATCTTAAAAGAGTTGTGTTGTGTATGGTCCAGAAGTGCCGGCAAATTACATAGTTGCGGTCACGTCAGTACGCGGTAAGAATGGTTTAACTAATTGCACTACTTTCTTGTACACTTACTAAATCCGTAGGGTTACGTAATAGACGGATGCTATAATTCTAGGAAAAATTCACGCAATGTATGTAGTAGTTCATAAACAAGTGTTTAATACTAGGAGGTTTAATACTACTGTATTAAAAAAAGTTAACTTCAAAATAAAAAAAAAAAGGATGTTAATAAAAAGGAAACTTCGCCAAACGCCTTTAACTTTCACCTTCCTGAATGGCAGTATTATCCATCTCATTTTCGTTTCCTGTTTCTGTCCATTTGATATCATTGGTTATTAAGTGACCAAATTTTGGTAAGGTAACGAGGGAAACCACTGGAAGAAGGAACTGCGACTACCTTACAGTTGGTGAAAACTTAATTATATCAATGTTAAATATAAGTAAAAGATAGTTTAATGAATAAAGGGTTTTTATAATTAATTTGTAACAAACCATTAGTGTTGCCTACAGAAACCAATATTGAATTAAGCATAAAGAATAGTAGAAATTTTTATTTCAATTATAGTGTGATATGTATGAAGAGAGTGGGGAAAACGTTACATTTTTCTTAGTATTAACTAAGTGGTGACAATTTCAGTAATTGTGTTATTGACAATGAAATTAATTGATAATCCAATTAGTTTATAAGTTACTGATGCTTCTTGCCCTGCTATATAGTCTTGAAATATTAATAAGTATTCCTTTTTTTACGTGTGTGTAGGATATTGAAGAAGTAAACAACACCTGGCAGCTTAACTTATTGAAATATCATCTTACCAAGACCCATTGTGAATTGAAAACACGTGTGATACGATATGCAGCAGCAAGAGCAAGGGGCAGAGCGATGTGACACTCAAGAAAACTCATGTCCGGAATCTCAAGATGCTACATCAGATGAGGTAGCACCAGATGTCACCTCTTCTCATGAAGAAGGAAATGATAGCAAAGAATCAGAACTGGAAACACCTGCCACTACTCCTGACGAAGTTGATGGAGAGAATGGCATTAATGATGGGGCTTCCTCTGATCCACCTTCTTCTAGATCAAAAACTTCTCGAAGTGCAAAGAAAAGACACAATAAAATAGACAAAGGTGACATTGAGACAGTTGAGAATGCTATATCAGAGGGTAAACATGACAATGGATTTTCAGAATCCAACATTACTGCTGAAGAGGAATCAACACCCATTAATGAAGTAACAAAGGATGAGGAAGATGATGTGCAAGATATTGTTGTTGAAGAAGAAGATGAGACAATTGTCCTTCAGACTTCTTGTGAGTCAAGTCATGCAGAATATACTGTAGAATTTCCCTTAGAAGATGAGAATAAAGAAGAAACGCAACATCTTGTAGTGGAGGAGGAGGAAGAAATTTCTATATCTACTTCTGTTTTGTGTGAAGATATTGATGAATCAGAGAGTAAATGCTCAGAAGCCTCTGAAAAGTATTTACTTACTCTTAGCAGTAGTGAAGTACACCAATTCACACCCATCTTTGATGGCCAAGAAAATACATCTATTTCTGAGAATTTGTCTGTGTCTGTGAGGTCATTGGGAGGGGGAATAAGGTCAATATCAGCACGCAAGCCTATGCGTAAATCTTCACACTTTGTAATGCATGGAAGATCATCCGTTAGTACTGAGAGGGCAGGAACTGATGGAAATTATAGCGATACAGATTGTTCTGTAGACACGACAGAAGGAAGTACGGTTTCTTCTCAGAAAAGGAAAGCATGCGATGTGGATACAATAAATTCAAAAAAGCAAAAGTTAAACGATTCAAAAAATTCCAAATTTTTTTCAATGGTTTCATCACCCTTACGAATGTTAAAAAGTAAATTAAGTGATAGGATAGTTGAGAGCTTGAATGCCCCTTGCACCGATGACCTTGCAAATGGTAACAATGAAAATGAGGAAGATGACAATGTTACAACTGATAAAATTAATGTAGAAGGGAATGAAATAAAGGAGAAAAGTCTGTGTGTGGTGTCCAATGAAGTTACCAATCAGAACTCCTTGTATCGAAGTTGGTGTAGCATTATGTAATTGTATGCATTGAATAAGGAAATCCTGAGGATATACAAAGAAAAAATATTAATTACAATTATCAATAATTGTATAATAGTCATATGACGATCTATCTAGATATTTTATGTACTAGGAAGAAAAATTTTTACAAAAATAATTCAGTATCCATACTGCTAAGATGGTTTACCATATTCCATTTGTACAAATTGTATTATAAGACTTTCCTTGGATTTGTATTTTATTTTACATGCTATTGGGAATTCCTCCCACTTGTATCACCAGGTGTGTTCAATACCCCAATTTTATTCGTACAGCTCAATTATCCTAGATACTGTGCCAGAGGGAAGGGCTAGGTTATGCTGTGATCTAATTCGGAGGTAAATGCTCTTGTTAGGATAATTTTGAAAGCTAATCAGAAAAGGGAAAGGTTTGTTTTAAACATCTTTGTGCTAGTGATAAATAACGCATTGTTACCACTTATTATTTTGGAATTGCATCCAGCAAATTTATTCAAGATGGCAAATTAGAATTATCTGGTAATAATCATCTTAGACTATCCCTTTCCATAATTGTTTTGAGAGCAACAGATTAAAGTGAGAGGGCTTTTAATTTTTAATAAATTACTGCTGTGTTAGAATGTGTAGTATTATAAATAGTTCAGTTAGAACTTTTATAGATTTTCGTTACAGCAGAATGGCTTGATATCTAGGGTGAGCTAACCAATGTTACTTGTAGATATTTGAGAGTTTCATTCTACAAGATGTGTGTTTGCCAAGTGAATTCTTCCGTATTGATAAAATACTACAAATTGCAGCTGTTGATCCTGTGGGAAGTTCCTTTTATTCCTATTTCATTGATATGTTATCAATTTATATAATTTGTTGATAGCCGTTCATTCATTTATAATTGGCCATCAAAGCAGCATACTGTTTTGTTTACAGTTTCATGATAGTATTTGCCTTTTACACATATTTTTGTATTTGTTTTATAATTTTTATATAGCTTTGTTCTCTTGCCTTGCTTTGTGTCATTTCTAATTTTGTATTGTACTCATAGTTTGCAAAAGTTTCTTGTAAACATTATTACATTCATAAATGTATGTCAAAGCCCTAAGTGTTTGCTCACGTCCCCCTTCATTGTATTGCTCAATTATCTTTTAGATGTAGTATAATTTTTCTCTTGTATTCAGAAATGATCAAATGAATTTTTAAAACATTCCTCTGTTGCTCATCTTCTGTTCAGTATTAGAAGGGTTTGGATAGAACAATTTTGTCTGCTTTGCTATTAGTTTTCATGGGCCATAGTTAGTATAGATGACAAGTTTACAAGAAACTTTCGAGATATGTTTATAAGAATCTCAAAAACTATTGTGATATATTTTTAAAAGACTGTCTAGATTGTCTTGTGATTTGGTTTGTTGTATAGCTTAAAAATAAATTTGACACTTTTGGCAATCTGTTTTAACTCCCTTAACAAAAATCCTTGACATTTATTTACATATATAAATAAACTAGTGTGAAAAACAAATGGTTCCATGTAGTGCTATTTGGAGATACAATAGTTCCACTATAATTCCATAGTGTGTGTAAATTCTTATAGTGGAAAGATACAAAAGCAAAACAATGCAACAAACTTTTGCATGGATGAAAGAGATTTGATGCACTACACTTTCTATTGGAGTGTCTTGAATAAAAATTATGGTTGTAAATGTTTTAAAGTAGGGGGAAGTAATTATTGGTGGTTACGGGTATTCCAATTTACTAATATCAGTAGCCAGGCAAGGGGGGGTGTCATATGAGCATATTACCTAGTCTGCAGACACTTGGGCATGTTTATCACCAAGATAATTGGTTTGGTGACCTTGAAAATGAATTTTTGTACTTTAAAGGGATTTATTTGTAACTGTGAACTGGCATGAAATGGATCAAGTATAGGGTTGGTTAATGCACTTATGAGAGGAAAGAAAAGCAAAATTATTCCTTAATTTTCACTCTCTGTGTAATAAGGAGATGTTGCAACTACATATACTTTCTCACTTTATTGGAATCAGTCCCTATATAGAATTTTAATGAGCATTTTCTTCCTTACTAACACCTCAGCAGGAACTTGAAAAAAGTCCTATTCAAACAAAGTGCATGTGCATACAACATTTTAATAGGAACAGTAATCCTTTCTTCTTTTACAAATAAAACAAATGAATTTAACTTGCAGTGTTTGCTGCACATAACACAGAAAAACAAGAATAATTTTTTAAAAAGAGCTTGCCTTAATTACATCGAAGTGGGCTTCTAAGTTTTGAATACAATAATCAGCAAACAAAACTTTATAAATTAAAAGTAGTATATTGGTTATATTTTGATTTTTCTGTAGGGGCTGATTACATTAGGTCATTGTTACACCTCCTGCCTTGTAAAATGAATCTTTTTATACAATGTAACTCATTAAGTCCCAACATTGCATAAACTCAACATGTAATATTTAAATTTTTTGTAGAAAAACTATTAGGTACAAATTCATTCTGTACCACTGTTGCACTAAGAAGAAATGCTATTTGATCAGGATTTTATTACTTTTCATTCATATCCGAGCGTAAATTTGGCTTCGTTGAATTTTGAAACTTGAATACTGGTAGCACAATTCACTACATTATCTCCAACTTTTAATTTAATTAAACTTTTTTTTTTTTTACTTTCATGTTACTAGACAAACTGGCTTGAACCTTCTTTGATCATTTTCTAATATGTAGATAAGTCCTAACATAGTTTATGATTGATAATTTACAATAATGTTGGGATTAGTGGGGTATACGCGAAAGACAATTTGCAATTGGAATGTAATCATTGCACGATAGACATGTACTACTAGTCATAAATTCGTTTTTGAGATAATTATCGTCATCTTGGCGATAAGTGTCTCATATCCTGCACTGTTGCATCTTGTATCAACTTGCTGAACTTATGTCTGTAAATAATGCACGTTCCCTCCGTGTTTTGATGAAATAACCGGAAAGGGAAAAATATAATATGATGTTGGAAGGAAAAAGAATTATATTAGGAAAATTATTGGACTGTGCAATCATCAACTCTTGGAAAATATATATATTACGAATGAACGAACAAGATATTGACTGTGCAATCATCAACGTCATGGAAATATATAATATTTTACGAAAGAAGAAAAGATATATACATATGTAATTTCGTCTTACGTAGTCGTGACAAATGCTGTAAGTCTGATAGTATGTCAGAAATGAGTTAATTCAATACTGAGTAAATTAGGCACCCAGGAGACTGAAAAATTCCATTTTTGGTCGACCCACGCACAACACATCCTACATAGTTTCATGATAAGGGGGCGGATTTTTAAGAAATGTAATTTTTTTTCACCTTTGAACAGTTTCGTTTAGTGATAGAAATTAATTTTTATATTACGACAAAACGAAATGACATTTCATGTCATTTATTTTGCTTTTTTCATCAAGTTTGACTAAGTCATCTTTTTACCATTTTACGTAATTTTTAATGCATCTTTGGGTGATTTCATCGATTTTAATACAATGGTACTTGCTTCAAACAATATTTACGAGGTGCAACTAATGTTCACCGCAGAATTCCTGAGTAGCCTATTCAATTTCTTCGCTCGTATATTGTAATGTCGGCCCTTGAGAGTACTATGTAATCTGTAGGTTCCCGTGACACCTAGAGGTGCTGTTGCCAGTTTGGCCGATTTCGCGATAAAGGCAGAGATTTTCTTATAAACAACGATCCAAACAAAGAGTTTGCAAGCTAAGTTCACTTGAACAAAATGAAGCCTCGATTACATCAGTAATATATCCAACAGCTAGAGTTGTTCATCTGACGTGGTTTTGATCAACTTTTTACGTCATTGTTCTTTGTTTTTAGAGCATTTTATTGATCGTTTTTGGCAATAAGGTCATCAAAATCCGCCCCATAGTTGAATGATGATTAACGGATACCGACACAGGTAGCTCGGAGCATAAATTTGTCACTTGACGCGATCATTCCTTCCTCAACCTTTACTTGCACCACTTACACCCTCACTCGGACTTTCACTACGCCACAACTCTAGCCGGAAGCTAAGAGCTGGTTCCGTTTGAGACGGTGCCCCGCTAGTGGAAGATACCTGCTTGGGGAAAACCTGCAAACCGACAGGTAGGTCGGCGTCCGATCTCGCTATCCAAAAGGGGAAAATAACCGCCACTTCCCGCGCTAAAAAAAATCGTTACATTTACGAGACTACTGAACTTGGCATTTGATGTGCGTGGAATCATCAGTCAATCAATCATGATGTAGAGTACGAGGGAGACACCAAGGCCAGAAGATGCAGATTGTGCAAAAACACTGCAGTTTACAAATGTAAAAATATTCTATGTTCATATCCATTCATACTGTTTTCAGATGTCTCATGTCAAGATGAACTGATATACACTAAGTTCCCGAAGTTGCGTATACGCAACATTTTGTTGTAAATTGAATATTGGTTAAAAAATATATTTCGTTTAATTTGCTGTATGAACGCATTTAAAAAATATTCATTTGCAAAATGCTACGAACAGTATTGCCTTGGAATGTATTGAACTTGAACTAAATACGGAGAAGCCCAAACTATGCTACAGAAGCAAATTTACGTTCGACTTTTCATATTTACATTCTTAAGCGTGCAAACACCGATATTTAAATAAATGTGAGTAACAACTTATACTTATTAAAACGTAACTAACATCTTATTCACATAAATATACAAACAGTTGCCTTTTCGTCTACAAAACGATAAATAGAGCACTTGCAGAAGTAGAAGTGAACACAATTAGACTGATTTTGTGGAGTTTTAATCTCTTCAGAAATTAGGGCAAGAAATATGGAAGTGTTAAGCAAATCCGGGGAATAATAAAATGTAGAAGATTTTGCGACAGAATTTTCGGAACCAATTGAGAATGATCTTGTTAAAGAACAGCTTACAGATGATTTTTATGAGCCTATTAGCAAAAATAAAACGTAAAATATGTAGCTCTACTAAATTCTAACCATTCAGCGTCATTCATACCTGCAATTACTTTACGGGGTTTATAATTTTGAAATTGTAGTATTACCAGTTCATACCCACTATGGAGGTAACATTTAAGGCCATTTGGGTTTGGGAATTTTTGGACAGGAGAAAAACATTAGCTACTACGAATTCATTGGTATGTCCAAAGCTATACACCATAAGAACTTATTTGAACTAGTCCATACGTAGTATTTGAATAACGAGTATGCTTGTGTGCGGATCCATCACCCACGGTTAGACCACGTCCCATGCACCAATCGAGATATATCAGGTGTCATTGGATGCGCCACGGACCCCTGGTGAAGAACTGATAATTTGTTTTCAGATCCCGCCAAAAGATTGTAAGACATTTTGAAATACGTGGTTTCTTGTGTCAAACTTATTAAATGAATGAAATTTGATGAACTCCGAGTGAATACGGGGAAAATCAAATTGTGAGTAATGCTACAGAATGAAAGCACATTCAACTTCTTACGTTCGACTTCTAACAGTTACGTTCTAAAGAGTTCAAATACCGATTTTCAAATGAATGTGATTGTCAACGTATTCTTATTAAACTTAATACCTTATAACAGACAAAAATATCATATATGAAAGTGGAAAGAAAATCCGGGGAAGAATCAAATGTAGTTTGTTGATTGTGAAATAGAATTCTCGGAACTAATTGAAAATGATCTTTTTAGAGAAAACTCTAAAGAACAGCTTACGGATGACATTCTACCAACTTTTTTGCGTATATTAGAAAAAAGCGTACAAATTGGGAGCTGTACTGACATCTAACTATTCGCACCATCTATACCTGCCATAGCCTAAATTGAATGTAATAGTTTGAAAGCATATTTTATTGTATTATACTATATTGTTTAGAATTGCAAGGAACATACGTATTTTATGATCAAATAAATTATTTCCAGTACAAATGCCCTAGGGTTTTTATTATTTCGAATGAAAATGTGCTTCTCACGAAACGTTTCGTGGGTCAGCGATGCGATAAAAATCATGCATTTTCCAGCATTATTTGTAATCTATGGAAGTCGGCAAACGCAAAGCATTATGCCGTTCCCCGTGTAAAATGATTTTCTTTAACGGATTTTAAAAAGAAGAAATTTGTCAACGCTGCGAAACGTACGGGGAAGTCCGTCTTCGCGGGCATGGGGCCGCGTGTTGCCGCTACTCATACACACACGACCCTCGGGAGCCATCAGGCAAAGCCAGGGTCTTGTAGTGGCGCTGGATTTGGATTTAGATTTATTTTGTCAAAAAAAAAAAAATGTATGTGGCGTATGGGGGAGAAGAATATCTGCGCACGTTTTCTTGAGTTCCAGAATCCCTTTCCGTCATTTTAACTATAAATACTTGAAAGATGAGTAAAAGTTTAAAATATATAAATACAAATAAATTTAAAAAATCGCGAGATTAGCAATATTTGAAGAAGAAAAAAAGACTTTTCGTTTCCGAATTATAGAAAACTTATTTGCATCGGTAAACGAATTGCAAGAATGATTTTTCTGCATTGCTAAAAACATAGTAACTCGCCTTTGCCTCTACTCCTACCATTACAAGCAAAAGGAGAGTTCAACAAAACGTGCGCATAGTGAAGCTACATTTACGTCCAGAAGCAAAACAAAGGGCCTTCTCAGTATTTGCTCAATGGATCAAGGAAATTGGACAAAAACCTGATTGAGATGGGGGATCATTGACCTGGAACCTGAAGTACATTATTTGTTTCAAACATATTAAGTCTTTTAAAACCAATATTATAATTCAAATGTAAACTAATTTAATATATATCACAGTTTTTTTAAAATAAATTTTACTTATCTTTTTGATAATCGGTATATTCTAATTGTATAGAAACAGTTATGTAGCAGAAACTATTTACTTTTAACTTAAATTAGTGAATCGACTTCAATTGTTTAATGTCATCTGGCAATGCGTTGTAAAATAACGTACATGTATGGATTTCTGATGGTGATTTCTGATAGTGAGCTGTGGATTTCTGATAGTGAGCTGTTGATACTGACACTTGATGAACGTGATTTTTATGTCGTGTGTTGTAATTATAAATATCAGTATTGCATGAAAATATGTTCCCATCGTTAAGTCAGTTTTGACAAATATTACAAATTCGTAAATAAATAGACAAGGCAATCGTAAGATTCCAAGCTCAATGAAGAGACGCTTGCAGGGATCACGCGGATGACATTTTTTCATTATTCGAATAATTTTCTTTTGCAATCTGAAGGTCTGAGTACTACATGATCGGAGAGGAGGACTCTGTCTGGTGCTACGTCCAGCCACGAGGTCTCCACGTAGCCATTTACCCAGAATTTGTCGGTCGGTCTCCGGCCAGCTCGCTATCGGGAGCGGCTGGGAGCTGCTCTCCACTGTGCCGCTGTCGTGGGCAGGGACCGCCTGATAGAAGTGCTTCGGACGAGTTTAGGGGGAGCCACTCGAGTTCGAGGAGGGGCGACGATATCCGGACGCAGGCTAGGAGGAGTGCATGATATTCAGCTCCTGCGGCCCCGCCCGAGAAGTACTCCCGACCGCTCGCCCCCGCCTGTGCAACCTTCTGCGCACACGCAACCTCCTTGCCAAGTTCCACATGCAGAGCTGGACATCTCGATTAGTGAGTATCTTGTAGGTCGATGTCGCATTCGAATCTCAGTTCGTGGACCCCCCTCCCCCCACCTCTTTGATCGAAAATGAATTCATTTGTGGCCGTCGATGGAGAGGGAGAGAAAACTCGGCGTATCGTCGCTCCTCTACCAACGCGATACCACGTACTCAACCAGCATCTGCTTCCCTTATCTACCCATGCGTAGAGGAAAAACAGCGGTCGGCTGGGCGTACTGCTCGAAAAGATGAATCTTCTGCTACACCAGAAGGGCCGACGAGGCAGTCATATCAGAGAGGATTCACCGTCTCCTAGGTCTCGACTAGATTGAATCCCACAGGGCGCCCCCAGGTCCCGAGCGGCCTTGCCTAGCTGTAGAGGTGGGAGGTCACTCCGTTTCGCGGCACTGCTGCGTGCGGGGCGGACCCGAACGCGCTGAACAGGTCGACAAGTGCTAGGTTCTGGTTCTACCCCTTCCCTAGAGTCAAACGAGCAGATGGCTCCTTCTGGCCTACATTGATGACCTTGGCGCTGCTTGCCAAGGTTAGCCGGTCGAGTTACAGACCCGCCTGCAGAAAGTTTTGCTCCAGCACGTTATCAAACGGCCGGAAGTCCTTCTGCGCAGGTGATAGGGCACCGTATCGCTTTGTCCAGCCGCCAAACGGTCCGACAGCAAACCCGCATACAGCTTGAAAGCGTGGGTGTGAATGCTATCGGACGCCATTGCTCAGGTCCTCCTTGGCGCCACTTTTGTGGATGGGCACTGTACGGGAACCGTTTCCACTCCTCCGGAACGAATGCGCTTGCCAAGGACCTCGGCCGAATGTTCGGAGTAATATACGTTATATAAAGAAAGTTATGTAATGCTGCAGCAAAAACGGCGAGTTTTTGAGAGTAAAATTTGTATTGTGCGGCCTGGAAACAACGAAAGTGGATAAATCTTATCCCAATATGTAGTAACATTTTGTGTAATCAGAATCCACGATTTGTGGGTCCTCGATTACGAAAAATTGGTCTACGGCAAAACGTCCGACCGTCTATGAACACTAACACCTAAACTGTTCGTAGATTTTTTTCGAAAATGAATATTCTCCGGTCGATTTGCGATTTTGAGAAACATTCTTTAAATTTTGTTGGATACTCTAGATAAAGCCCCTCGGGGCATTTTGAAATTTTTCTCAAAAATTATCCCAAATTCTCTCTTTGAATTTCTTGATAGAATGCAATAAAATACAATTATAAAGATGGCATATGTCCAATTTTCATTGTTAACTCTGAATTTCCGAAAATTGCAAAGTTCAATTTTTTGCGACGTCTTCGTACGATTACAATAGTGAAGATAGATTTTTTTCAAATGAAATTTGTTCTTCATAATTATTTATTTCATTAACATCATGTATACTTTTTTGAAAACTTTGGTGGTTTCCGATCAATTTTTTGGGAATATGGTCAATATTAAAATATATCAAAAACAAAGATTTCTCAAAAACGACTTCAATTTGTTTCTTTAAACTTTTGGACGTTGTTTTCCAATCTGATATCTCATGAGACTAGCAAATGGAGTGCGGGAAACTAGAGTTTGAAAATTGGAAGATAACATTAAAGTACTCATATTTTTAAAAAAATGAACATGACCCTATTACATAAGGAAGGTTCAATCATTTTCAGGAAAAATCGTAGGAGGCGATAAGGATGAATCAGTTTGAGTAAATTGTCAAAATTATTTGTAGAACATATTTCTTTTAAAAAAACTATTATCAATGTTGTACTATTGCAATGTTAATTTGATGTTTGAATTTTCGAAAATACAGAGAGCACTACTTTGTTCTTGCTACATACGAGTAAAACACTGTAAAAACTTGGAACCGTTTTTGAACAAATAATTGTTTAAATTGTTTGTTTCGAAATATGTTCGTTTTATGCAAAATTGTATATTTTCGAAAAAAAAATGAACAAAACCTTTTTTGATGAACAGATTTCATTTAGGTAAAAAGTTTTATCTTCATTATTGTAATTGTCGGATGACGCATAAAAATGTTGAACTTCAGAAATTTTCAAAAATGTAGGGAGTGGTACGAAAATGCGACCTTCGCCATTTTTTATGCGTCTTCTGCTCTATCAGAAGAAGAAACAAAATAAAAATTTAGAGCAATTTTAAGAACATTTTGAAAATGTTATCGAGGTTTCATTTAAGAACCCTTGAAACTCACAATACCCGTTTCAAACTAGCAGTGTTGCATGTTTCTTCAGATCGATCGGGGCACATAACATTAACATTACCGCTTAGGAGCTAACGTTGATGACAAACGGACAGACGTCACTCGATTTTTTGGTCTCAAGAACCCACAAAACAGATTTTCAGAACAGAACGTGTCAGAGGAAGTAATGTGCTACAAACATGAACAATATTTATCGACGTTTTCGTTACCAGGGTCCGTCAATATGAGTTTGTTTTGAACGAAAAATTGCCGTTTTCTCCCGCAGCTCTGCACTGTGTAAGCAGTAAGTGAGGAAAAAAAGAAGCTTACAGGAAACACGAAATGAACCGATCGAAGATCCAAAAGGTCATTCAAAGCGCTACCATCCAACGACGTTTATTATAATCATCCATATTTTCCGGCGCACGATTACAATACTTTCTCTTCTTACGTTAGTATGTGCAAGAAAGTAAAAAACTGGTATGCAACTCGTTTATAATGCTACTTTATTGCATTAGTACAAAGTTTCATTCCTAATGTCGCTCTTTTTCCAAATGAGTACTCATGCAATAAAGCTTAACATTATAAACTAATTAAATAAACTACTAATCTTAAATCTGCAATTTGTTTGTTAGTTTTTACTTGAACTTGAATGATTTTCATTAAATGCTCTTAAATTTGGAAACTACAAATGTTTAACTTTTTTCCAAGCGTCGTTAAAGTTGTTATCGTTGCAGATTATTTTAGCAGTCTGCTAAAGCAGACGATTATAGTTATACAGGCCAGCTGCTTGCAAAAGTTAGTTACTTGATTTCGAACTCCAGCGTGGTGTAATATTTTTTGCTGATTGGAAACATTTTCGCGGATTTGATGTCGAGATTTTAATGAAAATGAGCGTTTTGCCTTTCTTGTAGCCAGGGGCGGATTTACGCATAGGCACAGGAGGCATCTCGACGGCAAAAATTGTGTCTAAAGCATCTCCTCCATCAATTAAGATTGAATTACAATTATCTAATAGAGGTCTTTACGTTACCTCGATCGAAATTCTTAGAACTTTTAAATCTCTCTTGCAGTCAGTGTTGCTGATCAGCGGAATTCCTGCCAGATTTGGCAGTTTTTCAATTATATATTTATAATAAGTATTTATACTAGAAATACTGAAATATTATAAATTTTAGAAATGATACACATTTAAATACATATAAATTTTATGATTTTCTTGAAGATGTCTTAGTTCGTTCAAATTTCCGTGTTAAATGTAGACATCTTTGTAATTTTAAGAATTAACGGTAAAATAATAAATTTGCGTAAATACAAAAACATATTATTGCTATTTATCAAAATATATTTACAAGTAAATTGATTTCCCGTATGAACACGCATAAATTATTAATTAAATCATATTTAAGTTCAATCATAAACCTTTGCGTCCAATGTTTAAACATAAAATGTGGTTGTTATTAAATACACTTTTTCCCTGAGCAATTTAAACAAAATAGGCTGCAATTTTTCGCGTGCCCACAGGCGACAAAATTGTTAATCCGCCTTTGCTTGTAGCCTACATTCACTTACCTACAAATTCATTCGTCTCCTTTTACTTTTGTAGCATCTGTCATTCTCAATCACTGAAATGCAGTCAGTCCCAATATTAATGTGAATATAAGTAATAAACATCATTGCTGCTCAAAATATCTGATAATTCGCAAATTATCCGGTTAGTTCGCATATTAGCCGGTCGGCTATTTCGCATGAAATATAGTGCTGGGTGGTATTAATATAATAATGTCCCATTGTTTTAGACAATACAAACGGTTGATTCGCGAATTAGTCAAATTCGGTCATTAGCCATACCAAATACAGCCTAAACTTCAGCTCTGTCACAATCACTTATCATCCATTTGCATGAATATAATTATAAATCAAAATGTCTGAGTCTGTGCCATACATTGAAATGAATATAACTGGACCAAGTAATCTAACTACCGGTTTTTCTAATTTGAAAACATTGTAAATTAAATGGACGGGAAACTAGGATAATTCTTCTCTCAAACAATCTTGGAACAGCTTTATTCTAATTAATTTGAACTTCCAAGCTCCTCACAATTGTACGTTACTGAATATAAATATATATGGAAAGGAATTTACAATTTATTCACAACTTTATTGACAGTGAAGAGGCTGACAAAGGTTGAATGTAAGGACAGACAAATCCAATTTAAGAAAACACAATATAACAATAATGCAGTAAGACTGCGTTGCCATAATCAAGCTGTTTTTTTGGAATAATGTACAAGAGCTTTCAGGACTCATAAAATATTCTTATAATATATTATAAAATTGAACCCTAAAGTATTGTAGAGTGTTACATAAACTCTGAAATGTCACATAACATACACATACTTCTTATATATTAATATTACCAGCCAGGATTGATAGATTTATAAGGTGACACTTCATTTTAACATTGCATTCTGTGCACCTTTACATTAAAGATTACGTACACCAATAAACGCATGCAGGAAATTGCTGCATAGTGTTAACAATTTATAACGCTCTTTGAAAAATATCTTCATATATTTCTTGACTACATTGTGGTAATGACAATTGTTTAATTCCATTCCCAAAACTTACTATCTATTTTCAAGGAAATTACATGAAAGTTTTTGTGTGCATGTAAAGAAATGAATTACAGGGTTTTACTAGTATGTAAAACACTAAATACACTAATCACTATGTAATTTAATAATACCCTACTTTCTTCATAAAAATGCAATTATCCTATAACAACATAGGTTTTTACATAGAACACATTTTGCCCACGGAATATTTAGTTCAAATAAATGTTGGTATATATAAAAAAAATTATAAATCACATAACAAGACGGCTAAAAATATTTTCAGTTATACATTCCAAGTATTACAAAAGCTCTAGGGAACACATCTAGATTCTAATTTATGTTTTATTATGATCTGCCTACACTTTTATTCTCATACATGTAATTTAAAATATGAAAGTACATTTCAGCACAACTCAAAAAATATCCACTTTTTAAAAATTGCATATACATAAACTTGTACCAAAATAATAGTGATTAATGCTGAGTGGTTAAACAGTATATACTATGTTTAGACTGTGGTAATGCCCTCAGGTGTGAGATAATCATTTAAAAAGACAGATAAGAAATATTATATCCTTGTATAAGAGGACATATAAATTATCTTTACTGCTAACAAGCCAATAACCACATGTTTATAAGAGGACGGCTAAGGAGGTAGACATACCCTAATCAAGATATGATTGTTTTAATGCATTTATTTTGATGTGTAATCTTTGGGAACTCTATGAAATATATATAACATTGAAGAAACTGCTGAAATAAAGTTTTCTTTTTTCGTACTCATATCATTCAAATCATATCAAAAGCACTAGCAAGTCCTAAATAAAATTATTTATGATACATAGTATCCATAGTAACATAAAAAGAATTGAGGAGTCTAGTTTCAAAACACAACTTTTTCACCTTTGGTGAAAAATGAGATATTGGTTTTAATAGGAGTCCGTTGCAGTTATGTGTCATACTAAAAAATGATTTGTACAAAACATGTTTTTTGTTCATTCAAGAAGGTTTCGAAATAATGAGTTAATACCAGAACACTATCTTTTCACAATATCCATTTCATTGCAAAGTACGATCTTTCCAATCCAGCAATCAGATATCCTTGTGTCTTTATGTTTTGGTGCCATATTATATCGAAATGAAAAGTTATCTTTCTTTAGAAATCTAACTGGCCTACAGATTGACTGATACTGGGAACAATGAGTATTGCGAAAGTAAGCAGTATGGTGTTGCTGATCTTCATATTTGAAGAAAAATGCCACATAAAATAAAGATGTCAAAAGGAAACAATTAATACTCATGTAAAAATATTTAATGAAAACAAGTTTGTTTTTATGAAAAAATGTGTTTTTTACCAAAAATACAAAAATTAGTTCAATTAAATTTCAAAATAAGACTTTTCCAAATTTTTAGTTCAACTTCCTTCATAATGACTTAATATTTTTGAATTATCTTACGATATTGTTTTTACTTTCACTAGCCAGACATTAATCCCAAACATTTAGCAGCAGAATGTTTTAAAGAAATGATATGGCATTTTCTTGTTTTTCTCAAAACAAACTAAAATGGAAAAGTTCCATTTTGAAACTAGACTCCTCAATTTGTTCAGAAGAAGTAGAAATGTATCCGTTCTTAATCTGTAATTACAGTGATGGCAGGTATAAGTATTCAATCATTCTTTATTATCATTACAACATTTTGAAAAATCATGAAATGAATTGGGTTTCTGAGCAATATTTCTAAAAATAATTTTAATTCTGTTCTTAACATTTCATTAAATTTTTACAAAAATCTCTAATCCTTGTAAAATGGAAATTGCTTGGAAATAATATTATTTATTTTTTTTTTTGATGTGTAAATAATTCTTTGTTCATATGTCTGCATGTCTAGTACTTAAAAGTAACATGAATACAGCCTAAAACAAGAGGAGGTGTCAACAACATTTCTGGGACATCTTTTCCATTAAACATTTTTTAATATAAATATTATATATTTTACTTGTAAATAAATAAAACTTACAACATGGAAAATTACATTGAAACTTCAATGACACTATTAATAAATAGATTACATGTTGAATCATTTACAGGGTTGCCAGATGGTTTGGAAGGTTTTTTTTTTCCCAACTGTCTTACAATTGTCCAAATTTTCAGGTAAAATAAAGAAGAAATCAGGTATTGTACATATTTGTGGAAATAAATTGTTTTATTACTAGAGGTAACAGGGCCCTTTTCATATTTTTCAGAGACCTATGTCCCCTCTGGCACCTCCTCTGCACACTTCTACTTGAAAAATATTTTTTGGTTAAAGGCAGTCAATTTTCAACAAAAATTATTTTATTTAAATTCTTGGTTTTTGAAAATGAACAGATAGATTGCCACACTGTATAATTTCATGAAGGGTTTTGTAACAGAGTGATTCAAATAATAAAAGGGATTATTTTTTCAGGTAGTCAAGCATTGAGAAATTCTTGTCAATTTTCAAAAGAGGATACCACAGTCTCTTGCACATAAATAGAATTCCATCTTAACCACAGCATTCTAGCTAATATTTCAATTCATATTTTTTTGATTAATGATCAACTACACACTTTCCATGAATCTTTTTTTAATTGCTCTGATCTATATCATTCCATTTTTTCATTCTTTCGTTTCTTTTCTTCCTTTCTTTTTACCTCTCATTCTTTCTATATAATACTATTTTACACTTATTGTTCACATACTTCTAAATTGTTTATGTACTTTATTTAAATTTAACAGGATACAATTATATCATAAGGCTGTGAATTATTGTCTTACGTTTTCATCAAAACTCCTTATTTTCTTTTAACATTGCATGGTACATTTTCCAAACTGAGTATTTAAGCAAAAGAGGATACATTTGTGAACATATTGTCATTCACATTTGTATCTTTGTCACACTTTTAGATTGAGCGATTATAGTTTGGTCCTTTACATTAAATAAAATATGCAGTTACTTAAACATGTAGCTTTTTTTGGAATCCCTGTGATTGAATAAAGCTTCCAAAAATAAGCAAATAAATACACTTCACCATGCAAAGTTAATATCAACAGATAAGCAATTTGCAGCACGAGTTACATTGTAGACTATATGAATATGAAAGTAAGGTCATTAACAATTCATTTTCTTTTGAGTGTTGAAATGTTAGAAAGTAAGTAATTAGAACAACACAGCCATTAAAACAGAATAATAATAATAATAATAATAATAATAATAATAATAATAACAATAATAATAACAATAATAATAATAATAACAATAATAATAATAACAATAATAATAAAAATAATAATAAAAATAAATGGTAGTTATCCATAAACCTTAAAAAAATACAATGTGTTTATAGTCATAGAAATTTCAAAAATGTTAACGTTATCTGTTTATAAAAACCCTTTAGGTTGGCTTCAAAGGATTACAGTAACATGAAAAAATGACAAGATGTAGATTTGTTATAATTCCATATTTTTCTCCCAGTTGCAAATAGATGAAATTATTGTAGCCCTTTTTGACCCTCACATGTCTATTTTCTTGAAAGACATTTTCATTTTGAATATGAATTTAAGATGATTTGATCATCATCTGTCAGCAGAATGATAACGAGGAGAGAAAATAGTTGTATTTTATACTCAACTCAACAATTTGCGACTCCACTGTCAGAATCTCGGAAATCACTTGGCAGTGATTAAATTACTTGGGGGGAGGGATAATCAATTTCTTAAAAGGGAGAGATATTGTGCAAGACAATGAAAATTTTGATCATTTCTGAAACTACAGTGGACCCTTTAAAACTGAAAAGTGAAAGGGAAAAGAAAATTTGAAAGTTATTTAATATTTTGTCATACTGAAAATTCAAATAATAGAATGTTTTATAATTAGGTGAGGAGAATGAGACAAATTAAATGGATCTTCACCCACACACCTCTTTGGAAAATTTCGTACTACATACAATTTTGTGTTCATTTAGAGAGAATGTCATTACGTAATAACTAGAGTCCACTGTACATAAATGTAAAATTTCACCCTTCAATTATTTTCCCTTCAAATTCATTTCTGAAATGCTTCCTTCTTAGTTTAGCACTTTCTATTACTTAACTAAATGGCTCTTTGATACTCCCCAAGGTTTTGTTCAAAATAATTGATATGATATTGAATTCAGGGTTACTCAGAAAAAACAAGAGGCCTGGGGCAGTAGATCCATGAGGGTTCCTTATTTCAAACAAGATTACCCCTCCAAAATATAAATGGAATTCATTTCTCCATGCAACAGAAATACATTATTGCAGTTAATTTCAATTAGGATAAAAACTTGCAATTTTATATGTTTTGGAAGAAAATAAATTCAGGGCCCCACATAAGCCAGGGCATGAAGCAAGTTGCCCCTTCTGCCTCACTTCTGGATGCCACTGATTATATTTATCTTCTATACATCTTTGAATTGAATAAATAGATCCCTACTAATAATTAAATTACATTGTGCATGTGTGTTAATATGTTAATCATATTCAGAATTACTGAACATGTCTAAAAGAATATTCAAAATTTCAACTTAACTGTCATAGTTTTATACTATAAAAGAGCATTATGTTTGCAATGATTTTAGAATTTTGATTCAACTTTTTATGCAGTTTTTCAATTATTATAATGCTTATTGGACATTCTTTAGTCCATGCATATCTTTTTAAACATTCCAAAATGTGTTTTCTATCCAAAACACCCTTTTACAAGTACAAAAAATGGCTTCAAAATTTGTGCAACGTGCTAATATTGTCAAGAAAATTTGTATCAAAAGAGGAGTTGCATTGACAAATTATTCCAGAATAATATCTACTATTTTTTCTTATGTTTTTAAAATTATGATTCTTTTTAACACAAATTACTTGCAAATTAGATGATGTAGAATAATTACCTTTCACATTAGGCAAAAAAGCTGGGTTAAAAGAAATATTTGTTGATATATCCTATGTATCAATAATATAATATTCTTTCTATAAATAAGGAGATATATTATTAATTTCAGTCTTTAAGACTTCACTATACTTATCCTTGCAATTGGGGTGAAGTGATGAAAAAAATTAATAAATAAAAATATTGTGTTATGAAAGGAGAGAAAAAGAAAAGTCTGATAAATAAAGTAATGAAATAGTTTCGCAACTCCTATTTTTGAGGTATTTGAACACAAAGTCATTTATTAAAAAATGTCAAAATAATTCTATCATTATTTTAATATAATCAGAAGCATTCTTGAATCAAAAACATAATTTTGCAAATTTGTTTGTATTTATTCATTAAAAATCCCATCACTAAAATAAAATGTTTGTTCTGCACAAACTTTTCGCAAAGATTCTGAATTTGAGAATTATGAATTAAGAAACAAACACGAATTACGCATTAAGAAAAAAACATAGGAGTACAGATGCATTCATATTCAAGATGGTTTCATGAAAATTCAAATAACCATATGTTTTTATTTAGAACAATAACAACATGTGGTTATTTGAATCTTCATATTTTCTCATCTGATCTAATTGCTTTTAAAAACTGTTGATTTTATATACTGTTTAATGTACAGAAAAAAAATTTCTTAAAAAACATGACTTTTTATTAAATTTACAAGATTTGGAAAAAGACTGTCTTTATGCTTAAGGAATATTTAGAACAAAGAATAAATAAAATGAAAAGAAAGGAACAAAATAATGGTTTGATTCATAACGTGTGTATGAAGTACTAAATTCATGCTGCCATTCTATCACATTTGAAGTTGTAGTATTGTTAACCACTTCACATAATTAACACACACAATTTGCGATTATGTTTAACTTATTATTTTGAACTGCATCTACAGGTATGGGCTCTATACCAAATAACAATTTTACAGTCCTGTGGATTTTAACATTCAATATTAACTATAACAACACTTACTTTTAACATACTGCATTCATTTTTTATCAGGTAGACTAAACAGAATTTATATCAATATATATTTCACATTTTTCAAAATATGAGGCAGTTTGATATAACTTTTTTGAAGTTAAATATTGTTTTCTTAATGCTAAATTAGAAACAATATTGGATATGAAGTGCAGTTATATTGGTTAATGCATGGTAATTAAACCATGTCTCTATATTTGAGATAAATCAGCAATGTTATATTATCAACATTAGACTTGGCTAAACTACAGTAAAGTTGCCCTGTCACATGTGTTTTTGGCTTTTAATAGTGGCTGACACATTCAGGAGGGTTTAGCTTTCCAAAAATATTCAATTCATACAAACTAGCAAAAGTAATGAACAACAGATACCATACCATCAAGATTACTCCATATTTCTTATCCAATTTCCAACCATTAAGATGTGTTGCCACCACAAGGAAAACAACTGTTGACAACAGTGATAATGTTGAATATGTGAGACCTGAAACAATGATACATGTTAACATTATACCATTATCTGACAGATCTTGTGTATTATTTCTGTCTCTTAAATATCGTAATGAATGAAAACTTTTATTAACCAAATTCAAGGGACCAACACGGAGCGACTGATGGGTGGGTGGGGGGAATGACTAGGATCCTTAGATGTCCCCTGCTGGATAAGTAGTATTATTTCTAGTTGCCTACAATACAATTAATTCTTATTAGGTGTTCTATTTATTACTTTTACACCCCCTGAAGTGTTCAAATGGAAGAAATTGGAGAACAAAACATCCAGATTATTAGGTTTCATTCCAGTTGGGTTGCTAAAGCGAAGATGATAGTCACTCATTATGTAATTCTTTGATTGGCTCTCTCCCGAAGTTTCGAATGTCCCTCTCGGGAGAAAATAGCCACTTCGCAACTTGAGGGTAAGAAATTATATTTTTTATCGTTGGTTTTCAATGTAGGCGGTCGTCGACTGCTTATGAAGACAATCTCAAGTTAGGGTAATCTCTATGGTATTGGAAATGTTTCAGTAAAAAGATTTTACACTTGGGTTTTCGAGGTTTTGCATACACTCATGAGCTATTATTATGACTACCGTTTTCGCGCCTGAATCGCGGAGGGTTACATAAGATTTGGGGTCTGGATGCATAGAGGAGAGATACAATGTATCTCTCCTCTATGTCTGGATGTCCCTCGTCGAGTGAACGCCGGCCCGGAGCGCTTCGACTCAGGTATAGTGCGATTTTCGCACTCCTGTCCCTGGCGGGTATCAGCTGTTGACGGTTTCAACCAATCGGGAGCTTGAAAGTCACTATTGTGACGCCCGATTGGATGAAACAGTCAACAGCTGATACTTACCCGGGGTAAAATTGCATAATTCGCAGTATAGTTTTCTCGCTGGTGGTCGAAGGCTGAGTCGTCGCAGCGTAAGGATACGAAGATAAATGTTGTACTTTTCTTATTTTTATAGTGTATTGCATGTTCTATTTTAGACTATTATTTCTTTTTGACTATAAAATTTTCAGGGTTAATGTTTCTCCGTTTAATTTTAATTTCTTCCTTCTTTTTTCTCTATTAGAATATCAAACTTCCGAGTAGGAATCACTAGCTACTAATTAATTCACTCCTCTGCGTTGAAGTTTCTATTTACTTCGTATCCCTCTCCACCCTACATTTTTTTGCCTGTTATAATTATTTTCTCTGTCTCTCCACATTTTCATCACCACGTCAAAGAGATCTAACAGCCGAAATGGTAGCCAAGAAGTTAGAGGGGAGTGTGCGCTTCAACACGCATTTGATTAACGATTTGCACAGGGAACTTGCAGAACGTAATCGCGAGATAAACTAGTGGTGCTACAGAATGCCTCAGACTTTCCCGTATTAGTTTTCAAGTTCATGGGCAGCATCAACTTCAGATTGAAGCCAAGATGCATCTACATCTTGCAGAAGATGTAGAATCTTCTTTTCCTCCAATATTCCTGCTCAAAATGCTTCAACGTCATCTTTTAAAAGTGTGACAGCTTTGCCAAGGTGAGTCTGATTGCGTTACAATCTCTTCGCGTCTGTTTCAAACAACCGATTCGGCAAACTGAAATCTATTCTACGTTTGTAACTTAATAATAATAATAATAATAATAATAATAATAATAATAATACGTTTAATTTCGAAATTATTATTATTATTATTATTATTATTATTATTATTATTATTATTTCTCAGAAGCTTGTGCTGGGTTCAATTTGCCCATTCCTGCCACGTTAAGGAAAGAGCTCTGTCACTGGGGAGAGAGATTTCACTCTGACCCCCAAGACCGATATGGGAGCCTCATTTGTTCAAGAACTTGCGAACTATATGGCATGTTTGCCGGATCACTGCTTTCTGTCCGTAATTTAGAATTCGTTGAGGTAATCCCATTTTCTCCAGATTTCCCCCCTGTAATTGTTTGTTACTACACCTTCAGCCCAGGGCCGGATTTAAGTAGTGCGGGGCCCCAAGCACAAAATTGTGTTACCCCCCCCGAAAAAATAGCTCCATCTTTATTAAATAAAAAATGTATTATAGTACAAGTACTTTCTGTACAGATACAAAAGAAAACTGATAATTTTTTATAGAAATTTTTACTTGTGTTACATTTTTTACATTAAATACATTTTACTTAACTTTATATACATAAATATAATACATAAAAACTATGGTATGCGTATTTTTCCGAAACGCGGGGCCCCAGGTGAATGCGGGCCCCCAAGCAACTGCTTGTTTTGCTTGTGGGTAAATCCGGCCCTGCTTCAGCCGAAATAGCAAATTAATATATTGTTACACTCTGTAGTTTCAACATTTGTTTTATTTTCAGTGCAACATCTTCATTCTTAGTAATTTTCTCTGCTTCTGTTTTCTTTAAGTTGTGTGTCAACGGTACGGCAATTTCAATAAGTATAGCTTCTTTCTTGTCCCTGTCAATCAAAACTATATTTGGTCTATTGAAGGCCACTGTCCCAGTAAATGTTTTATTTGCTTCCATTACAGGTGCTGGGTTTTATTTATAATATGGAGGAACTCTAATATTTAACATTCCATGCTTGAGAGCCAATTGTTGATGTACAATCTTAGCTAGTTAGTTGTGTCTCCCCAAGTACGCGCTTTCGGCAAGTGCAGTACATCCAGCCGTTATATGCTCGATTGTTTCACCACTGGTGCCGCATTTCTTGCATTTGTCAACCACGGGCATGTTCATGCAATGTTTCTCGTATTTCCTAATGGGGCATACTTTATCTTGAATTGCCATTATAAATCCTTCTCTTTCTGGTTATAAATAGACTCTGATAACCATTGCAGCGAGGACTGTGTTTCAACATGAGGTTCATGGAGAGCTGTAGGCAATTTGCCGTGCGTTGCCTTTTGTTGCCACTCATGTAGATCTCTTTCAATAGTCTCTTTTGCTGTTATTCCTGTTGCAGGTGTTCCTGTGTTAAAGGCACTCAAGTTTAGTGGAGTATAACAATCATCTGCTTTTACAGCCATTTTCATTAAGGTATCTTCACACGAGAGTAACTTTTGCTTCATTTTTCTTTCTTGGTTTTTGCAGATATTTTCAATGTTTAGCAGTCCCCTCCCTCCGTCTCTTCGGGGTAGATATAGTCTTAATAGACGAGTTTGTATGAAGACACCAGAATTTAGTAAGCAGCCTCCTAGCGAGTCTATTAATTTCAGCAAGATTTGCACACGACCATTTGAGAATTCCGAAAGAATACGAAAGTGTAGTAATTGCCCTGGAGTTAATTGGTATGATTTGGTTTTTCGTGTTTAATTTAGTGTTCATAACTTTTGTAACTCTTGATCTATACCTATTGATCAGAGCTTTAACTTTTTTAAATTTAATTAATTTTTTTTTCGCTTTTGGCAGCTTATTATCTTTTCTAAAATCGTAAAAGGCGGAATCACTCCAGTCAAAATTAACATAAGTCAATAGTTCTCCTCGGATAAGACTAACATCAGCTCTATTTCTTTCTCCTTTCCATCTGCGATTTTTTAGTAAAAAGAATCGTTCACAAAATGCAGATCAAGGTGGCATACTTAAAATAAATGTAATCATCTTATAAATATTATCTTTCGTTTCAAGTTTCAATAAATATTGCCAATTTTTTTCCTATCTTTTCATCTTTTTCGATTATAACCATCTTTTCATCAGAGAAACAGCCTGAAAATGCATCAAACAATATGCTGAAGTTGTATCCAACGGCTCTGTAGTTTGCTCGAAAACGGCTCCAAATTTTTTATGTAATTTTTGGTAGTGCTAGGGCTAAATGTACGCTATGAGAGGACGAACGATATTTTGCTCTATTTTTTTAAAAAATTACAAAAAATGTATTTTTTATTAGAATTTCTTGAAAACTTAAAACTTTCCTGTGAAAACGAGCTCAAATTTCTGCATCTTCCGAAATTTTCAAGCGCTAAAAACGGCTCCAAATGTTTTCTCGGAAGTTTTCGTACGGATAGTGCTACTTGGACCGTTTAAAATGACATAGAATTAATTTTGCTGTATTTTGTTTTTTGAAAAATTACACAATTGTAATTTTTTGAAATATCTCTTACGCCGTTATAAGCACATTTCTAGTGGTTTCCATACATTCTTGCATTTGTGAGTGGAAGTGCTTTAAATTACTTCAAAAGAAGTTTCCTCAAACTCAAACAATTTCTGTCAATAAGAGCTTCAAATTTCGCATTTACCGTAAGGTTTAAACGCCATTTTCTTAGAAACGGCTCCCAATTTTTCATTGAAAATTGCCGTTTAGAATACGGTTTTACTATTATTTAATATTCTTAGAATAATAATCCAGTTCTACTCTTCGGAAGCCGAATACTTGAGAAAAAAAAAATCTTGTGCGATAAATGGTAGCCGACAAGAGTATGTGGCAAGTCAGGAGAGCTAGCCCAAAACAATGAACCTAGAAAACTAATTCGAGAAAGTCTGTGCCATTCTGTAGCCCGAGAGACGCATCAATTAAGTGAAGATTCAATTAACGAGAGATCATATTCGGAACGCTCCACTGGGGGATTATATTAAAAGATTTGTATTGGAAATGTAAAACTAATGAACATTAAGGTAGACACGACAATGAGAAAACCTCTACCATAGGAAGCACATAGTGACCAAACAACATTAACATGGTACTGTCACATTTTGCGTACGTACAAATGAGAAAAATTAACAAAAGTAGTTTTGACTACCTCCAGAAAGAAGAAAACGTGGATAAAACAATACGTACTTCGGGAGCTAGAATTATGAATTAAAAATTGGAGTGGACTCTACTAACCTTTGCTGTATACATTGACATGACTTCCTGGTTTAATAATAGCAGTCTGAATGAACCACGGAAGTCCCAAGCAAATTAAGATATCGAAAACATTGCTTCCCACTGCATTGGAAACCGCCATGTCACCATAACCTTTGAACAAAACATAAGATAACGGCTTGCCAAACCATGTGCAATATGCCAATGAACAGAAAAGACGTTTTACAAGCAGGAATCATTCTTACCTTCCTTCACTACAGCTAAGCTGGACAGAGCATCGGGTACGCTTACTCCAGCGGCTACAAAAGTTAATCCCATTACAGTGTCTGGAATGCCCAGAGTGCTTCCTAAAAATCATAACAATAATCTCAATTAACGATACAATATTGTATATCATGACAATATTGAATATGAATCTCTTAACCTACTAATGATGTTAATTTGAAAAACACAACAACAGGGTATCAATTAATTCATTCCTTCAGTTTAGATATTACATAAAATTTACCTACACGAATGACATTTAAAATACATAAGGCGATAGATCAAATCGTAAATAAGAAAACCACCATTTGATATGAAATAGATACGAAACAGCATACAGTGGCCATAACGAACAATGACATGAAACGAGAATACTGACTCATTAAATAATAGACGTGTACAAGTAAGGTATATACTCTCTGAGTAAGGTATTTACTAACGACTATTTCACTCGAGGAATTAAAACCAATTGTGTTCAACTATACATATAAAATGCCTCAATCAGGATGGAGTATTTTAAAAAAGTTATCGCATTTTCTATCGGATTTTTCCTACCGTTGCTCCTTACTGACCAATGATAATTTGCAGCTCAACTACCTTAGAAGGCAGTTATGAATCGATCGCTGTGTTAAGCAATAAACCGCGTACGTAGTATAAAATAACCTCTTTGATTTTAACATGCTTTCAGTTATTTTTAATATTTGGCGCATTTTGAAACTTCTTTGTATGACATATTTTCATTCGTGTAATAGTCCTATTAAATACCACTATCGCTTTGTAAATTTTCAGATAAATCCTCACATTGCGAGTCGTGTATTTATCGACAATTTCCCAAGTACGCGTAGTCAATATCAGTACTCAATATCAAAGTACCTATGATAAAATAAAATAATTTATTGACTACTTGATGGAGAATCATGGCCTCCAATGTTCTTCATAAAAACTACAAATCTTCATTTTTCGACTTTTTCAGTAAATTTTAAGATGTAATTTTCCGTTTAAAAGAGAAAATTTGACATTTCTAACAAAAATACTTTGTGAACAACTCGAGATATTGAAACATAATGAAGAAAACAAAGGAATTTTTTGTTTAATTTTCTAATCACCATAACGTATCACACAATTTTCATCTTTACTTTCCAAATGAAAAGTCAGTTTGAAGGAAAGTCCAATGGCAGGCAAAAATCGTGAGAAGTGATCAAAATATTTCGAACACAAATAATAAATTAAAGCAATATGGAATATAGAAAATAATACCTCCACATTAATTACTAACTTTTGGAGAATGTTATTCTGCAAGATGAGGGTAGAGGGGTGAATGATCCGGCATCATTCGCTAGTGTCTTCAACCAATAATAATCGGGGCTTGTGGTTAATTTCACAAAGAATTATAAGTCCCGTTAACATCATCCAAAAAATTTACTTCAACCGACGTGCCCCCGCTCCCCACAATTTCGATACGATACTCATATTTATTTCTGGAACTTCTTATTGAAATCATCGGAATAATCTGTAAACTCAATCACAAATACTCGGCCGCTTGATATGCGTTTTCGGATTGTTTGTTTCAGACTTGTGCACGATTATACACTCGTAATTAACACATTCAATACATCCTTATGCATAGGAATATATTTAGATATTTTCAAAACAGATAAGATTCTGTCACTTTTGGAGAGTATTATTAAAAATTACCAATTTCTCTTTATATTTTTTTTCCAAAATATTACAAACTTTTCGATGAACGAGTAAAAACCTTTCTCAGTAAATAAAAGGGTTCACTTGAGTTTAGAAATATGTGGGAACAGCACTTTTTTTCTTTTCTAAAATATGTCTGTTCATCAATGGATCAATGTGAAAGTGTCTCTATTCTCAAAAGGAAATCGGGCAATTGATGTATTTTCATATTTTTCGAAATCACTTGTCGGCATTAATAATACGTTGCTTTGAAAATTACCGTCATATGAAATTCGTGACATTGTCCTGGTTTGGATATATTTGTATCTTAAACATCGATCTTCAAGAGTAGAGATATCTTACCAGAATAAAAGGATATTACTTTCAATTCATTACCAGAAAGCTTGAGTCCAGCTGGGTGCGAGTTTACGGTCTGTTCTATTCACTTTATACGTAAACGATATTTCCTCGTCGATTTGAGACCTAGTTCTTATTAGCCGGAAACGATTTTTCTTTTGATTGTTTTGCCAAAAAACGCTGGAAGCTACCTTTATTTTAATTCAGTTCACTATAATAAAAGCGAAGGGGTAAGAATTCTGGAGATAAAAATGTTCGCATCTTTTATGTTCCCTATCCGTCTCATACATTTTTTAATTGTTTTTTTGCATACCACACATTTTCTGTTGCAAGAAATCGGTCATAAAAGGGCATTTTTGGCACAAATAATGACGTGTTAGATTTTACGGCACAAGAGAATCTTGGGGAGGTAGGGGAACAAACACAGTTTTCTCGCACACGCGTCAAATTCCCGAGACGTCACAAGTTGTTTCGCCAAATTAAGTTTAATTATCTTAAAAATTTACAATGCTTGCTCCCGTTTTCACGTCCCTCATTTTCAAAACATGTACTCGCGCAATAAAGATTAACATTATAAACTAATTGCATGAACTACTATTTTGATGTTAAAAAAATAAAATTCCTTACCAATAATTGTTATCATCCATACCATAATATACGAATAAAAGGAAATCCAGATCATTGATACAATAAAAGTAACAAGGTACCAATGACGCCATTTTTCTTTTTTACAATCTGGTATGGTTGCTCTGCAGCATGCATGAATTGGTACTGTAACACCCCATGAAATTTGAGCCCAAAGACCACCTTCAGTAGGCATAACTAGTGGAGATGTCTGCAACACCAAAGTGTATGAATAAAATTATTTTCGTGACAGGTTAATCTGAAATAACAGCGTTTTGTTGATTCAACCAACAAGAAATTACGATAAAATTGAAGAAAAGAATGGACAGTACCTCCTCTTGACCACTAGTGTCTTTTGATTTATAATATTCAACTGCAGGAGGCGCATTTCCACTGGGTTGATGAGGAAACTGAGAAGATGCAACTGTTGGTTGTGATGAAATAGGGTTTACATCTTTTTCTGTTCCAGGAAGAGGAGCCATTCCTGAAATAACCAACACGCTGAAGCTTCACAGATGAAATATAGGCACAGTTCACCTATAATGGACAGTTTTATATTGGTGCTCACCTTGATCAGTGCTGAAATTCAGAGCTTTTTCAGATACTGGGCTAGTGTAACTGGGACGTCTGCTTCTATCTTCTTCTAAGTGCTTGTAGGAAACTAAAGCAGACTCTTCTTCCGGGGCGGGCTGACGACATGGCACAGGAAGGGTTTGTGCCCACCGTTCAAGTTGAGGATTGAAATGTAGCGCAATACAGTATGCTATGTACATCAAAATCATGAAAAGGGCTTCTGGCCTGTTGAATAATGAAATACTTATTAGTTTAAAATTGTCATAATAAGCGACACAAAACGAGAGTAAAATAAAGGTGGAAAAATATGTCCAGCAATAAAGGGTGAATGATGTAAGAGCAATTTTGTTCATAAGCAATCATTTTGAAATTATTATTTCTTTAAAGCTCTGCTTAATTACCAATAGCAACATCCTGTAAAAATTTTGTAGTATGTTTGTATGAAGATAAAGTTCAAGAGATAACTTTTATATAGTCTAGCACTTACGGAACCAGTCCATTAGTATCTACAATTTTATGCACACGAAATACATGAAATACACTGCTGGACGGAGAAAACGAAAAAAAAAAAAGTTTGCTACATAATTTCATTTGATTTATCTCCATTATCGAAACATCGTAAATAAGTGGTGATTAGTTTTGTTGATTGATAGTTCCATAATCGAGACAGCACTGCAGGGCTGCAGTGTCCTGTGCTGAATTGATTGATTGATTGATTGATTGATTAGTATATCTGTGCGCGTCAAATGATAGGGTCATTTGTCCCCTAAGTGTTGTGCATTTTTTATCGCGGGAAGTAGCAGTGATCTTACCCTACTGGATGGCGAGATCCGGCACCGAACCACGTGACGTGTCGGCTATTAGCCACAGCACTGAACGCGTTCCTTAAAATGACAGGCCTCACGAAGGGTTAATTATCTAGTTGTACAAGAATTGTGTAAACGAAAAATGTCAATTTGTAAAATTATATATGTATCGGAAGATATTTAAAATTTGGATTTCTTTCAGCCAAAACCGAAAATTAAATTAAAATGTCAATATTAGTGATTACAACAATACGATTTGTACAAAATGTAAGCAGATTTCTCTAAATTCATTAAAATTTAATAAATAATAGAGTTTGGTGGATAATTGAAATTATTTAAGTAATATACCAGTCAACTTTCCTAACATCAAAAATAGTACCTTGTTGCTCGAGCTTAAAATACATATTGAGAGTAAAAAGGATGTATGTTTGTAAAAATTGGATCTTGGTTTCTACCAAAGTTACAATGTTTTTTGAATAATTAACAGTCTCCAGTTTTGTGTTGGGATTTCAAATGCACTAACAAAGTTTGAATACATTTAATAAAATTGATTTTGTTTTAGAACCTTTTCACTTTAGGGTTGAGATATTCACTTACTAGGAAAGGCGAGACAGGAAAGAAGAAAGTACGGGGAAAGAACACTCGAATGAATAAGCATTGCATGAACTGGACCACATATCCAACACAAAAGCTTTTTTGAAAAGGGAAGAAAAGTTTTAACAAAGTAAGAGTGAGGTGGATTTTTATATAGAATTTAAATTGAAAACTATAGAATTAAAATAGAAACGGAGAAAATTCGTTAGATAGGGAGCGGAAAAAAAAACGCTCACAGGACTGCACATTTATAATTAAAATTACAAACCATCTGTTCTATTCTAATGCTTACCATGAAATGTAATTGTCAAAGATGACACCTAGCATTATGAGAATAGATACAGCGTAACAGAAGCAGTCTCGCACCAGTGGCCACCAGTTGAGATATGAGACAGTTCCAGCGCAGAGTGCGCATACAGATATTACAAACATTATGTTGAAAACTGCTGAACCAATTACTCCACTGACTCCAATGTCATCTTTGGCGAAAAACACGCCGATAACTACAGTTGCCAATTCGGGCGCTGAGGAACCGGCTGCCATAAAAGTTGCACCAGCAACGTCTGGAGTAAGTTTTAGCTCTGCAAAAAGGTCAGAATCAGATTTATTTACTTAACAGTTGGTGAGCCATGTAATTGAAAATTAGTTAAAAATTTAATGTTAAGAGTCAATTAAAGAAAACAGGAAAATAAAGATCGAAAAACAAAGATGCAATATTCCAAGAATATAAGAATATAAGAATACAGCTAGACTTTTATAGTATAATTTACCAGCAAAATAAGCTAATAACAATGTATTTCCTGTATATTTCAGTGTAAACACATCAAGAATTTCTTTCGAACTAAAAAAAGTTAAGACTACTAATATATTATATTTAAATATTTTTTCGTGCGTGGACCAGATTTGCATGATTAATATCATGATGACAAAGGAATTTTGAAGATTTTATTTCTGTCAACTATTATAACATAAAATTAAGTAATTTTGCCATTGAAGTTGGTTAGAAGTAAATTTCCTCTGCTAACTCTTTTGGAATGATTTCATCATTCCTTCATATGAACTATTTGTTCACCCCCACTTTAATTCGATTTATGAGACAAAGAATGAAAGAATAAATACATCACTTTTGTAAGAGTGTATAGCAAGTATTTGGCATTTTCCTAGTTGCCTTTTTGGCTGCTCATATTGACAAGGATTACTTTTCAATGATGCATTAATATATTTTCATAATGGAGTATCATTGCAACCAAGCCCAAGTTTCATAAAATTAAAGGACCCTTTGAGATCTACCATTCGTCATCAGATCAAAATCAATTCTTTTCTCTTAGAGATGTGATGTCTTTAATACGTGTCAAATTATTCATGAATCCGTGAAGAATAAATTTAATTGTATCTTAATTATTATCTTGAGCATGAATATATTGGATCCCAAGTGTAAGAATATTTCACTTAACACACAAAATATCACATGGTTCTAAAATATTTTAATGTCAACTTTAAATTTCTTATATGATCAATTATAGTTGTTTATAAGATCTTTAGGATTCAATATTAATTCCAGAAGTGTCTGAGATGAAAATGTGTTGTACGTAGAGTTGACATATCTCCGCACGTCACCTGGTTAGTCCACTTTTAGAACGTATTATAGGCATTTACAGGCTCGGAATTCAATGTACAGTTATGTACAGTTAATCATTCATTTTATAAAAAGTTATTGTTTTGTTAAAAGCGGACCCGGCCTGTGCCCGGAGATCTGACAAATGTTTGCAAGAACAATGTTCATAACTATTAATAAAAGTAAATACGTTTTATGAAAAGAACATTCAGAAAGCATAGTGTTAGAGGAAATTTTGAAATAGTATTCCTACTTCTTGGTGAAAAGTGTTGAAATGAAGGGTGCACCAGGCATTTGGAATTCAACAATAAGTGCTTATAAAATACGGTTTGTACATTTTATCCCTCCCCGAAGATGACGCGCCGCTCGCCTCAGCGATCGAGCCTTCAGTGCCTCGGGACCTCGTCAACAAGGGCCCCGTCCATACGGCGCGTTCGTCGTTCGGCGCACCAGTGTCAAGAGCGCGTTCGACTTGAATCATGAAATTTTCTTTGAAGCAGAGCATATTTGTTTACGACACCTTCATTCGACTTACGTCGGCCAGTAAGTGCCGCAAGAGGTTAATTTACAAGTTTTCGAACGTGAATATTCCTCATCGGTCGACAATTTTGAAGGTTGTCAAGAAACTTCGAATTCATGGAATTTTAATTGATAAACAAAAGTGTCTAAAGCGCCATGTCCTGACAGAAGAGAAGGTGAACGAAATTTCTGCCAGATTACAATAATTTCCAAGCATATCTTTTAGATGTATCGCACCACAGGCGCTGTATTAAAGAGAAAATAACAGCAATTCCTCGAGACTTACTTCCAAGGGTAAATCAGAATATGTTTCGGAGTTGCCAAGAATTCATTCGAGCTGAAGGAGACCACTTTCAGTATCTTCGCAAGGTGAGTTAAGCGCAAAGATAGTTCCCGTATGTCAACAGGGGCGTTGAGTAAGCGCTTTGCTGGGCGAGCGAGCCCTCAACTTCACGGGCGAGGCGGCACGAATTTTCGGCGAACGATAAAATGTACACTCTATACAGTAAATCTAATTTATGATTACATTAAAACACATTCAATTTAGTGGTAGATGATATAAGCGTTGGATAAGAAATACATTCGATATGGATAATTTTCATAATTGTCCAAGGTACTTCAAATTTGTGAGGGACCAATCAAGAGGTATAGAACCTATTTATTTGGAGATTAATATTCTCTTTTTACTCTTTGTTTTGGAAACTGTAATTTGATCAGACTAAATTCTACAAAAAAATATTCATTTTCGAATATGTTGGTACAACGAAATCGCAAACCTACACTGTGGGTTTTCAAGGTGCTCCAAGTAAAATAATGTTTCTGAAAGACAACAAATATTTTTTTTGTAAACTTCAGAAATGCTAATGTGTACTGAAAAATACATATAAACTCAAGTCTCCCAACAAACTCTGAGAAGTAATCACTTCTGAAATGAGATTTATGGTTATGACCTTTCAATTTCACGTCAGCGCGTGGAATACCACCGTGATTCAAACGGACGTAAAATTCTAGGAGCATTAGTGATATGAAGAACATGCCATCAACTGCATATTCCTGTGACACGGGGTGTCACCGCGCAGGAACGGAAGGCCCGTTTTGGATAAATTTTCATAAAAGAAAGAACGAGACATTTTAGGATACACGCTTTCAGAACCATTTACACCGCTCTTTCGCTCAAGAGTATCCTCCTAAAGTTTACCATTCAGATTCAATTTGTATTTATGATAACTGATACAATAAAATGCATTCTTTTAAAATATCATATTGAATAAAATCCTTTGAAAGAGCTCAAGAGAAGTTAAACGATTTTCTTGTGGCAAGTGTTGGGTAAACGTTTAAACTCTCCTGATCATGCATATTTCAAATAAAACACAGATGCAACTTTTCTTTAGAAACTATGTAAGGATTCTCTTCAGTAACGGAGCGTTGTACTTGCTTGCCGAAAATTGTTGTTTATTTTAAAGACATGCTTTACAAATAACATATTTTCATCAACTGATTCGTACCTTCACAAATTCGATCCAGAGACGAAACGAAATAGTCGTCACAAACAATGGCTAGCCCAAGAAAAGTGTAGACTGCGACTAAAATGTGCAGGATGAGGCCTCCGGACTTGCGGGCGCCAGGTCCCATCAGCGGGCGCGGGAACTGTTCTATGGCCGGAGGCGTGCAATTGAACCGGCGAGGTTTCGCCGTGGGTGGGTGTCGCTCGTGCGCAGCAGGTGTAGTGAGAGGCGCCTGTTCGGAACAGAATAAAGCAAGCTTTCAGAAAATCTGGCTTTTCTCCAAGGATGTTGCGGGGAGGACGTACCTTCGTCTCGTTCACAAAACTGTCTTTTGCGAGGGACAAGGAGTGGACTCTGCAGCCAAAATTTTAACTCGCAAGAAAATCGGGAGTGGTAAACACATTCAGTTCTCTTTCTGTTTGTACTGCTTCCTGAGTTTTGTAACCACGGCTTCTGCGATGAACAGAAATCGTTCTCCTCGATGTAGTTTGGATTATGTTTATTAGAAAAAAAACAGGAATAACATTACATTAATTCTTCGGGAAATAGAGTAATTCAGGTTTACCGATTTTGTTTTTACAACAAATTGGATATAAAAATGGTAGTGGGCTACATATCTAAGACAACAATCCTATTATGTATTGCATTCTCTACAGCTTTCTTTTTTTAGGTTTTAACTACTGTGTTTTCATCTTCCCCTGCGAAAAAGTATTTTAAAGACAGTTCTCTGAAAACAGATTTCGTTTGATAATATGATTTTTTTTAAATAAAATATTTCAATTGTTTTTATATCCCGCCTTGCATTAAGATGTCAGTATTTAACTACAATGTCACCACGATTCACATTCATACTAATATACACGTATACCCTAGAAATAATCTTGTTGCGTCATACAGCAATATCTACAATACACTTCATAATTTCATATACACAGTTTCTACCATTTATACAAAAATTATATTAACCATATGACCGCATCCAAATGAAAGTGCTGACGATGTAAGATGATACATTCTTAGAAACACTTGAAAAAATTCCCAGCGCAGAAGCACGTTCACAATAAAAACATACAATTCCTGTTATCAAACTCGAAAAGGAATTTCTTGCATTAAACTACGAGGGAAAATAGAAATACTTTCCTGAATATAATAAAGCACTATCGTTGCATTTGTTTTCATGGCGTCTATTATATTGTTGACAAGAAAATGAATAGCATGCTATGTATTTTAAATTTACAACACCTGTTAGAGCTAGTAGAATCAATTTCTAGCTAATAATATATATTCATTAATAACAAATGTCTTTCAAGAGACTGGAAGTGAACCATTAGCAGTATAATTGTATGTATAGTTTGAAAGAACGTTTAAGGGTAAAGGAAATTGTATAACTCCCATGAATATTAATTATTAGGCTTTTAAACCTAGTGCGTGTTTACCATTTTCATTAATTCGTTAATGACCTTAAAATTTGCAAGGGGCTATAACGTGGATGGACGGAGGGTCGGCCACACACGACTCTGCTCACAGCAGATCTGCAGCAGTTCCTCTCTGGGAGGTATTTCGCCATCCACACTACAGCGGGGATCGGAGACTTCCCCCTTTTCGTACACTTCAAGAAATTCCTGTTCGGTCAGCATTACGCGAATCACATTCGCGCAGAGTTACGATGTCAAACACTCGTATCTATTTCAGGCGGCAGAGTTCTTAGGACACGGATAGGAATGTTGATTCAATGGTACGACACTTATCACGATTCTGGTGGTGATTACATGTGAAAATAGTGCAAAATGTGCTGTATCTGCTACAATAAAGTTTTTCCATGAATTTATGTTTTCGTTTTGTTAACAACCTACGGATGTGCCTCGTATGGTAATATATTAATGACTATATTGGGAAATATCACTTTCGAACTAGGTTGTTAAATACTGAAAATTGATTCTCCAGAAGCTCGAATACTCGTACTTCATTCCACCGGGATCGTGTTATTCAAACTGATGTTCTAACCAACTGGAACCAAAGATTGTTTTCGGGACAATTTAACGATTTTATCGAAGACCTTATACAATCGATATGCTGAAGGGGAGTCAGTCCATTTCGATCAATTTCACATTAGATGCAAAATGTGTAGATGTTGAAAACCCCAATTTAATCCTTAAATCGTCGCGCAGCCTAACGTTATGAGTACAAGCTTTTGGGAAAATTGTGTTGAACCCTCGAATTATTTTTCAGGAAGATATTCTAGTCCATTTTGTAGAAGCGAAATAACATTTGTCGGTGCTCATTTTCCTGGAAGGTGTAGTTTGACACCCCCCGCAACTCTGTCATGCGAATGACTGTTTGTTATTGCTTTTTAATTATTTCAAAATAGTTTAGTATTAACAGTTTCCTTAACGATCCAATTGCCGTTCAAAATCCACCAAACCATTTCAATCTATTATTTTGTGTTTGAATATAATAAATATCTTGAAAATTTGGGATCGACATTGTCTTAGATTGTCTTGTCAGATCAATCCTTATTTTGACACATATTATATTATACTATGGCAACATGCAATTTTTATGGTTGTTGCATACCCCCGCTCGACCGAATTTTCCGCGATTGTCCTACGGAGTTTGTCATATAGCAAGTACGCAATAGAAAAATGATTTCAAAAAAAGAAAAAAAAATACTGAAGTTACGGAAAAGCACACGAATATTACTAAAATACGATACATATGAAATGACAAGAAATGAAATTATTATCGCATACAAATATATCCTTCTAATTCATAGATACCCGATGTAGATGTATTACTTGTTTAAAAAAATGTCGTGTCATAAAAATTGTAGGAATGGTTATGAAGAATACGGAAAGTAATGATTCGTTTATGAGCGTTCGAGGCGCATCCAAATAACTCCTAAAAACTCGCAACTAACGGCATTCCGTTAATAACATTCACTACTTGAGAGGCGAAGGTTGAAAGCACCTGCTCTGAGGTGGTCGTCCAGGCTGGA